TGAGAGCTTGATGGAGCAAATCTTGAACCTGGTTTTTAGAATTGGGTAGGAACAGAAAGAAGATTTCCCCCTGTCGGGTCTAAGCCCCTCTACCAAGGGCTGGACTTTCTTGAACATGAGTGGTAGAAGAAGACATGAAAAGTTGTACTAGTAGATATATAAGAAAGTATTGTAGAAGCCAGTGGCCATGTAGCCATTGCTAACAAGGAGCCACTAGCCAAAACAGTCCTTCAGAGCAAAGTCCCATACAGTAGGTAGGTGCACACTGGCTAGGTAACAATACATCTTTCCCACACAGCAGCAGCAGTCTCTGTCCACAGACATTATCTGAGCAGCCACGTACTGCCTCTAGACCCACAGCCTCTATAGTAGCTGCATCTCTCCTGAGCTCACTCTGCAGCCTTAGTAACATACTTTAATACTACTTACACAAAAAAGGCTTCTAGCCAAATAGTGACATCAATCATTTGGGTTATAGAAGGGCATGTATGTGCCATGTACTGTGAGATTGCTGTGTCCTTGCTGTGCACTTGCATAGTCCTTGGACACCCTGATTAAGATTCCCATGCTTAGAGAGTGGCCTTAGCCATCTGGCATACTCTAGAGAGGGCTTTCACACTCTAATTGGCCTGGGCCATCCAGCGTACTCTGGCATGGTTTCCACACCCCCCAAACAACCGGATGGGGCCAGGCAAACCTTCAGATATGAGGTAGGCAGACAGCCTTTCCAAATACATTTCCACCTCTCCTCTGCCATAACACAGGTATCACCCCTACACACATACCTCACACATCTACTTGGGGTCTTCAGTAGGATGGTCATGTCCACAGTGCACTCATCAATACTCACTCAAGTGCATGTTGTACTCACACACACACACACACACACACACAGAAACTTGGACATACAGAGATAAAATCATCCACATGTGAACACCCAGCCTCTGCACAGACTCCGATTCCTCCTCCCAGAAGTCACAGTGCTGAGCATGGAGATTGGAAATCTCCGTCTACTTCTGAACTGCTTTTAAGTCTCCTCAGCCCATTAGCTTCAGCCTTCTGATCCATCAGAGGGGCACGGTGACTGTGACAGAGCTAGCTGTTGTGGATGGATAAGAGCCAACTCTACATAAGCTTTGAACCTTACAGGGCTAAGGTTACAGGCTCTGTCAGGGAGGCAGTGGACTCCTCCCCCCCTTTTTAAGCTGCTTAATCTAATGAAGAATGAAATTCAATCCTTATGTCATACACAAAATGAAATTCAAAATGGGTTAAAAATTTAAATGTAATGTGAAACCATAGAACTACTAGAAATGGGAAAAGCTTCCTAACATTGGTCTCGGCAGTGATTTTTTTGGGATATGATACCAAAAGCACAAGCAACAAAAACAAAAGTAGTCAAACTTTGGTGCATCAAAGAAAACAATCAACAGAATGAAAAGGCAACCTACAGAATGAGCGAATATATTTGCAAACTGTATATCTGATAAAGGATTATATCTAAAAAAAAAATAAGTAACTCAATAGCAAAAAAAAAAAAAAAAAAAATTTAACAATGGGCCAAAAACCTAAATAGACATTTTCCAAAAGAAGATATACAAATGGCCAATAGGCACATAGAAAGCTGCTCAACATCACTAGTCATCAGGGAAATGCAAATCAAAACCACAATGAGATATCACCTCACACCTGTTACAATGACTATTATCAAAAAGAAAAAGAGAAGTATTGGTGAGGATGTGGAGAAAAGGGAACCCCTGTTGGTGGGAATGCATATTAGTGCAGCCACTATGGAAAACACTATGCTATGGAGGTTCTTAAAAAATTAAAAACAGAACTATTACAGGCACCTTTCACAGAAAGGTGTTATCAGACAGCCCCCTGAGTCAGAGGGAGAGTGCTATCTCCACCTAGATTCTTGTTATGCTCATGTAAATGAATTCAAATGAATGACTCCAGATGATTGCATTGTGATAAAGCCAATTTATTAAAACATTAAAGCATGCAAATTTATTACGAAGCTAGGCAAGTGAATCTATACATCTGGCTTATGAAGTGCAAATGGGCTCTCAGCTAATCTAGAGAGCAAGTGAGATGGGGGGTTTCTGCCTTACATAATTTTCTGTCTATAAATTTTAAAATTCCTCTGCTAGATATCCTGGTACAGGTTAACTCTAAAGGTCTCTCATTCATTTATGTTGTTATGGCTTTCTCTGAATTTATGAGAAGCACCTAGCAATTAAATCCCAAGACTGCTGACTTTTCTATTTAAACAGTGGGATGAGATAAGACTGCACTTTTCCTCCCCCTTTTTCCCTCCTCTCTGCTGTTAGTTTTAGGGTGATTTAAACCATGTATACTCAGGTTGTGGAGAAGAGGCATCAAAACTCCCTTTCTCTTTCCCTTTCCTTCCCCCTCCTTTCCTGCATTCTTTGCAGAGACATTAACCATTTGCTTAGATAAGGGCTTGCTATTTACAAGCTGGCTGCAGGCTGCCAAACTGGCCTTGTTTAATTTTCTTGTCTCAGTTTCCCTATTCCTCTTGCCTTGGAATTTTTCTAGCTTTTCCCTATCCTATAACAGGACTACCATATATGGCAGCAATCCCATTTCTGTATATATATCCAAAAAAATGAAATCAGAATGTCTAAGAGATATCAGCACCTCCATGATCACTGCAGCATTATTCACAATAGCCAAGATCTTTTGACAGATAAATGGATAAAGAAAACCTGATATATATATATATAATTCAGTCTTAAAAAAAGATAAAAAAGGAAATCCTGTTCTTTGTTACAACATGGATGGAGCTGGAAGATATTATGCTAAGCAAAATATGCCAGACACATAAAGACAAATACCATATGTTCTTACATGTGGAATCTAAAAGTCAAACTCAGAAACAGAGAGTAATGCTGGTTGCCAGAGACTTGAGGAGGGAGGAAATAGGGAGATGTTGGTTATAGGATGAAAAGTTACAATTATGTGGAATGAATCAATTCTGGGGATGTAATGTACAATATGATGACTATAGTTAATAATACTGTTGATAAGGGTTAACTAGCTAGCTTAATATAGGAAGGGAGAGGTTCAGAGAGGTCTTCCAAACCTTGGCTGCACATTAGAATCACCTGGGAATCTTTTTAAAATCCTGATTTCTGGGCTTCATCCTCCGGAAATTCTGTTTCTCTGTTAGGGGTTGAGGTGCAAACATTAGTAACAAAGAAACAGAATTTCCGGAGGATGAGGCCCAGAAATCAGGATTTTAAAAAGATTGCCAGGTGATTCTAATGTGCAGCCAAGGTTGGGAACCACTGGGATAGAGGCAACTTGGCCTGGACAATAAAAACAGCCATAAACCAAGGACAGAGGTATTTCTGCCCTGAGCAGCTGGGAGAGCCATAGGGGTAATAAATTTTTGGGGGGGGGGGGGAGAGAGAGAGAGAGAGAGAGAGAGAGAGAGAGAGAGAGAGAGAACAAGCGAGAGAGAGAGAGAGAGAGAGAGAGAGAGAGAGAGAGAGGCCATTTTACTCTTTGAGCTGAGAAGCCAGCATTTTCAGTCTCAAGACTTGGCAGAATAAGGTTGCTAGGTACCATAAGGTAGATCAAAAGGAACTCCAGCTTAAACAGATAAGATGGATATGTGAAGGACAAAGAAAAGACACAGAATATCGGGGAAAAGGAAACTTATTTCCACAGAGGGTAGAGGACTGTTACAAAATAAGGGGAAAGAAGGAGGGGGGCACAACGTGGGCTTTAGCCTTTGCAGAGTGGCCAATGAGGAAAGCATGGGGATCCTAAATTGGGGAAGGGTCCAATCAGACAATGCCTCAAGACAAAGAAAGCAGTGGCCACCCCCTTTAGGGGACCCCTCTGTCTCTCCTTAGCCAGGAGAGATATGGTCTTAGAATTAGAAAGCTTAAAATTAGGAGTTTTAGAGATAGAATCTGCTTGCAATAAAGTTTCTTCTTCTTGCAATAAAGTTTCTTCTTCTTGCAATAAAGTTTCTGTACTTCTCACCTACCACCTTTTGTCCATGGCTTCATTCTTCAAATCCATCTGGACAAGAACCTGGGAAAGAAATCACCCTTGTACCCTGCTCAATAAAAAAAATCCTCAAATCACTGTATTGCACACTTGAAATTTGCTAAGACAATAGATCTTAAATGTTGTCACCACACATATAAAATGGTTAACTATGTGAGGTGATGGGTATGGTAATTAGCTCGATTTTGGTGATTATTTCACAATGTATACCTATATCAAAACATCAAGTGTACATTTTAAATATATACAATTTTTATTTATCAATTATAACAATAAAACTGGGGGTTTGGGGTGGATAGCAGCTGAAGAAGCCAGCTGCTTTCCTACAGAAACAAAATGATTCTCTGATGGAAAAGGTCAGTAAGGAGATATCCTGAGTCAGGGCCTTCCTGAAGTGCCTCAGCATGGATCAACCTCAGTCAGCCCAGAGTTAAAATCCTAGCTCCGCCATCCCTATATTCCTGTGTGATTTGATGGCTGCACAAATTCCCTGACCTTTCAGAGCTGCATTTACTTATCTGTGAAGTGGGGGACTAAGGGCAGTTCTTGGTGTTAGTTAAGAATCAAAACCCCTGGCCCATCCCCACAGCCCAAGTCACCACAGCCACCATTCCTGCGCTTGGCAGTCTGGATTCCCTGAGCCATCCCACCGAATCGCCAAGGTCAAATATCTGCACTCGCCTGAGTCCGCTTGACCCTGACAGCCCACTCCGCCTCGGTGCTGGGTTCTGTCGGGGCTGGGCACCCTGGCACGCACAAGCCGGCTGCGCAGAAGCCGGTCTGAGTGCACCGCGGCTCCGCCCCCGCGGTCCCCGCGGTCCCGGCCCTGCTGCTGTCCCTGCTCCTGGGGTTCTCTGGGCGGGCGCGGTCCCCGCGCTCCTGGTCCTGCTGCTGTCCCTGCTCCTGGGGTTCTCTGGGCGGGCGCTCAACTGGAGAGTCGGAGAGTTGGCGCTATGGCCAGGGTGCCCCAGACCCCGGCACCGCCCCGCGGCCCCAGGAAGCGCCCTGCGTGCTGTGCTGTGCTGCAACTTGCCACCAGGCGCTCAACGTGTGGTGGTCTTCGCCGTGCTGGCGCTCCTCGTCCTCATAAACGTCGTGCTGGTGTTCCTGCTGGCCTTCTGCTGACCGCCAAGGCCAGGCGACCCGGGCTTCTCCTGGTGAGTGGCGCCTCCATTGCCCACCCTCCGCGCCCCGCATCTCCCCTAGCCCCATCTAGCTGTATAGGCCCACTCCCAACGCAGTGACCCGAGGTGGTGAAGCTATAGCCCAGCAAGCCCCAAACAGATGCCGCTTGTGGAGGGTGCCCCTGCCTGCCTGGGAGTATGGTGACACATGTGTCATGGGTCCTTCCGTCTGTCATCTGTAGTGTGTGTGTGTGTGTGTGTGTGTGTGTGTGTGTGTATGACTAAAATGCGCACCTCTGTGGGTGACTGGAGATCCGTATGTAGCTGTGGCCTTGGCTGCTGTGGTTGTCTGAAAACTGCTTATGTGACTGAAGTATGAGCGGAACTGGACATGCATTTCTGTGTAGGTTTAAGAGATGTCTGTGGAAGATGAGTGGGCTCTTCTTCACATGTTACCAGCTTTTCCCATTTTCGGTCTTAAGTGGTCTCAGCGTGCCCCAACCCACTACAGGCAGAGCCCCCACCCCTTGTAGGAGGCACTCTGAACAGCCCTCAGCCCTGGCTGCTCAAAGGCCTGCCAAATTGCATTCCTAGATTGTCCATTGCAATCCTACCTCAGCCTGCACATGTGAGAGGAGGAGATGGGGCAGGGTGGGAAGGATGGTGGGTGGTCATCAAGGGGCACTTTGAGGCAGAGCCTGCTTTCCCTAGGCCTATCAAAATCTCAGGGGCACAGGAGGAGATCCTGCCCCTTGTCACTCCTTGTCTCAGTCTTAAACTTGTTCTTCCACTAGGACAGTCCCCTACCTGCCACACATAAACATCCTATACCTCAGAGCCAGCTTCTACCCACTGCCAGCCCAAGAGTAAGCCTAATCCTCCCCCTCAGCCTGCCGGGGTCATCTTGGCTTCCGTGCAGCTGCACCTTGAATAGAGTGGCCAGGAAGGGCCTCTGCCCAGAACCCCACCCTGCTTAGGCCCAGGTAGCCTCTAGGCTCTCCTGAAGGTAGAACGCTTCTCAGAGCAGGCAGAACTACATTGTCTTGGTGACATCACATACACAGTTAATGCCATTGCTATAATTCAACAGAATGCCTCCCATTGTGGATCTACACAAGAGCTTTGTGACCCATGTGGAGCACATTTTTACTGTAGGCATCCATGGGGACTGAGGCACAGGGACATCAAGGGAGTTGCTTCAGGCTGAGTGTCTACCAGATGCCTCTTGTGCTGGAACAAGAAAGTGACAAAGGTGACCAACCCCTCCAACACCACCACCATCAAGGGCTTTCAGGTGATTGGGAAGTACAGGTATAGGGGCATGTCTAAGAAAGTGTATAGGCATCCTGGTCTCTCTCAGAAGCCCTGTGTCTCTGCTATACCTGTGCCCTTTCCCACAGCTATGTAGGAAACCACCTGTGCAGAATTGTGCCTCTCTGTAAGGGCTGGCAGAATAAAACAGGGGAGGAGGCACTGGGCCATATAAGAGGGGCTTTAGCTCAGGGCTCACTTGAAGGAAGCTGGGGCAGGGGCAGATGCCTGATCTGGTTAATATCAGGCAGAAACAACCTAGGAAGGGAAACTGTGTAGCTGGACTGTGTTGGGTGTGTCAGCATTACTTCCTCCTGCCTGGGCTCCAGCAGTGAGGGCAGCCTGAATGCTGTCCTGGAGACTTATATGTGCAGTTGTTGCGAACTGAGGATAGAAAGAATCTACAACCTCTTCTCAGGAGATCAAAGTGTAGCATGTACTAGTGAGCATGTGAATATGTGCTGGTAGGTGCATTCCAGGGGCTATGCAGCAAGAGGGAGTCTTAGAGCACCCACTTCTCCAGGATCAAAACTACAAAGCTTAAGCAAAAAGTTCTGTTACCTGCTGGATCCAAACCTCAGTTTATCCAAGAAGTTCCATTGTCTCAGTAACTCATCACTCAAAACATACAAATCTTCATAATGCACATATGTGCCTATGGTCACACAGGCTCTGTCATAATGCTCATGCTTGCTGATGGTCACACGCTCTCTGTCCTGATGCTCACGCTCATCTGTGCCCTCTGTCCTATTGCTCAACTCACTAGTGGTCAAACATGCCCTCTATTCTGATATTACGCATCCATAGTCACATGGACCCTCAGTCCTGATGCTTAAGTCACTTGTGGTCACACATACCCTCTGTTCTGATGCTCATACTAACCCATGGTCATTGCCCCTGAATGGGGACATTAACCTGCAGCCTGCATTCTCATTGGTTCATATAGACCACCTTTGAGTACTCTGCTTCTTTTTTGTCCTCAGGCCAGACCCCCAGGCCTGGTGTGGTGGCCTGCTTGTGTACATTGTGCACTGCAAGTTGCCCCATCAAGTGCCTGCACCCTACATGCAGCAGGCTGGCTCTTCTCATGTGGCCTCGCTGAATCCTCTTATCTTACCCTGTCTCTATTGCAGTCAGGAGCTCTTGATCCTGGGGCCAGGCATCTCTGCAGAAGAAGGGCCTATAATAAGTATTTTTAGCTGGGTAAGTGCAATGGTCCTTTAAGGAGACTTGCAGCCTCCCAGGAATAGCCCAGTGCTCTGTGCCCTGGGTCCCTGGGTGGGCCTCAGGACTCTGCCACCCATGAGAGGCTGCTGCATGTGAGAGCAGGTGTACACATAGTCTCTGAATTATTCTCAGGAGTGGTTTCATCAGAGTTTGGAGCAGGTTTTACTCTCAGAAATCATGAAGAACTGGTGGTTTCTGAATGGGCTTGCTCAGGCCCTATTTGGAGTAAAGGCCCAATCTGAGTGGCCTCCCATACCTAGGTGGCCTGCCCACCCCTCACCCTACCCATTTGGGGCATGGTAAACACTTGTTAGACAGCAACTGGACTCAGGTGAAGACCTACACATTCCTGCTCGGACATGTTTAGCTCCCATTTCTATGTGAGGATGAGCATGCACACTGCCTGGGAGCCCCCAGGGAAGACTTCATTGGGCCTGAAGCCAAGGGGTAACTCAACCCCAGGAGGGTAGAGCAGCAGCTGAGTTCACAGGGCATGTATGGTGAGTCCCAAAGCCTCGATTTTTTTTTTTTAATACTCAACTGAGGATATGTTCATTTATTTTAGAGAGAGAGGAAAGCCGAGGAGAGAAGGGGAGGGGAGGGAAGGGGAGGGGAGGGGAGGGGAGGGGAGGGGAGGGGAGGGGAAGGGAGGGAAGTGAGGGAGAGAGAGAGAGAAATATTGATGTGAGAAACATGGATCAGTTGCCTCTTGTTGCCCTGACTGGGGACTGAACCTGCAACCTAGGTAGTGCTCTGAGAATTGAACTTGCAACCTTTTGGAGTATGGGATGATGCTCCAACCAACTGAGCCAACTGGCCAGGGCAAGGTCTTAACTTCTTAGCCAAAGAGCCAGCCCATGACTGTGAAAACCAGAGCCACACTTGGTCCCAACAGAGAGGGGCATGGACCTCACCTCCCATGCAATCCTTAGAACATACCTCCTCTTGCCCTAAGTTCCCAGAGACATTCATTATTCAAGGAGCAGAAACTGGACCCACATTCCAGGAAAACAGGTGTCAGCTCAATGGCAAATGGAGCTGGGAGCACAAGGGTTGCCTGCATTTCTAGGTGAGGTCCATGCACACCTTCTGGACCTCCTGATGTGAGGTCAATGACCATGCAGGAAGATAGCTTCACACCAATTATTGCAGCAGATGGAAATTAATACACAGAGTGTTAGCCATATATAAAGTGTCTGACTCATTAACCAACTGCACAAGAACAATCTTGAAGTATCTATTGCAGAGGGAGCAATATGTACCTATCTTTCCTAGACCTAGGGAATAAAGGAAAGAGGTTGGAACAATTAGAACTGAAAATTCTGTGGGTGTAGGACCTAGAACTCTGAGGAGGGTTGCTGCTCAGCTGGTATTGATGGGGGGTGGGGGTGGCGAGGAGGGGAATGCCATGAGACTGGTTCTGCAAGTGTTCAAAAAACACTGCAAATGGGATCCAGCTGCTGCAATGTCTGGGCACCGCTATACCTGGGTGAAGCAGCATTGTTGCTTGTAGGTGACCTGACAGGTACTGCAAGTCCACAAGAACACAGCAGGAGGGGGCAGCTTTTTGGTCCCCTCCAATGTCACATTAGGAGAACCTAACAGGGAATAGCTGGCACAGCAGAAATGCAGTTTGAAGTGTCCTAGCCCCAGTATCACAGAGCAGAGATGACAGATGAAGCTGAGAGACAATAGTTTAACCACTGGCCCAATCGAGATGGGAGGCAGGTGTGTCCTATACAAGGACATGCTCGACTTTCAGATTCTGTGGCTCACCAAGATCCTAGTGGTCAAGTTCACTTCAGTCTGCATCATGAGCCCTGCCAGTCTAGACATGCCTAGGGCATAGCCCTGGCCCCCAAAGAGTAGCTGGCTCGAGGGAGGCTCCATCCCCTCCTCTGTGATATGAGTCAGGATCTCCTCTTCCCAGGGCTGCTGAGGGGTGGGGTGCAGAGGGCAGGAGCACCCTGCCCCATGAGGTCCATGGCAGCCTTACTCCACTGATCTGCCTGTCCATGGTTCTCTCCACAGCTCATCAGCAATGGCAGTGTGGTCTGTGCTGAAGCACTCTGGGACCATGTCACCATGGATAACCAGGAACTGGGCTTCAAAGCTGGGGATGCCATTGAAGTAATGGATGCCACCAACAGAGAGTGGTGGTAGGGCCATGTCACTGATGGGGAGGGCTGGTTTCCAGCTAGCTTCGTGTGGGTATGGCACCGGCCTGAGCTTCTCCAAAGCCCATAAAGAGCCAACTGACTGCTCAGAAACTCAAGCCTGAAACTGCTCTAGTGTTGGACATGGACTTCCCATTCACAGCTGTGGATTGGGTGGGTGGGGGTCATGAAGAACAGTCCACCCTCCAGCAGAGCTGTCACTAACTCCAACCCCCTTCTCCCACCCCTCCCTCCAGGGGGCCCTCAGTAGCCAGAGAGGAATAGGTCAGAAATGAAGGTGTGTGGATCCCTCCAAGGGGAACCTGCATGTCAGAACACCACCACAAACAACTGGGTTTACCAAGCATTTATTAAGCACCGTGCAGGACATTCACCTGGATCCTCTTACTTATAACTTTCACAACAGCCCTGCAAGCTGAACACTTCACTTACACCTGAGGCATGGACAAGTTAAGTCCTTAGCCCAATAGTTCACAGGGAAGGACCCAGATTCTCCCTAAGGAAGCCTTTAGTCTCTAAGGAAGGAATCCAGGTGCAGACTCCAAAAGGCCAGCAGAGGGCAGTAGGGAGGGGAGATCCTAGGCCCTGGAATTCAGTTTGTCATCCCTGCCCAGATTTCAGTGGTTGGCAAACTGCGGCTCTCGAGCCACATGCGGCTCTTTGGCCCCTTGAGTGTGGCTCTTCCACAAAATACCGATTTCTGCGCATGGGCCACGAAGTTTCAATCGCACTGTACGTGCGCGCCCGCACGTGGTATTTTGTGGAAGAGCCACACTCAAGGGACCAAAGAGCCGCATGTGGCTCGCGAGCCACCGTTTGCCGACCACTGCCCTAGATCAACTGTCTGTGCTGTACTCCAAGCCTTTCCTAGTTATGGGTCAGAGAGCCAACAAGGCCACATCACCATCCACTTCTCTCCTGGTCTCTACAGATAAAGAGCCCAGTATGAGCAAGCACGGTTCAGAAACTGTAGTGGGCAATCCTTTATTCCAAGCCCTGTGTCCAGCACAAGCCAAATGTAAGCAGAGCACCTTCGGAGGAGACATGGTCTCAGATGTCACTGACAACTGCAATGGTCATCGGACCTGTAGTCCCCCTGTCCAGATGAGCACTGTTCGAGGGTGGTGGGAGCTTGTCCCTGTGTGCCCTAACAGCTCTCAGAGCCCGTTACTACACAGCCGCAGGCATGCGAGGCATCGACCCTTGCTTGGCACTGACCGGCCGCCTTGCCTGCAGCTGTGGGTGAACCAGGATGAGCCCTGGGACAAGGGCAGGCAATGGTGGAGCTGAGGCTCGAAGTAGCAGCAGGAACCAGATGCACACAGTCATCAACGAGATCCTCAGCAGGGAGTGGGACTATATCAAGCACTTACGGGATAGCTGCGAGGTGAGGGCCTCTGCGGTGCGGGTGGGGTTGAGGAGGGACCTGACCGCTGGACCCTGTCCCCAGGGCTACATCAGGCAGTGTCACAAACGCACCAACATGTCAGTGAGGAGCAGCTACGCACCATCTTTGGGAACATCGAGGACATCTACGGGTGCCATAAGGCCTTCGTGAAGGCACTGGAGCAGAAGTTCAACACGGAGTGCCCCCATCTGAGCGAGCTGGGTGCCTGCTTCCTAGAGCACATGAGCACACCTGCATCTGGCCCTGCCCACCCACCTGTGCTGGAGGCTCCTCTGCCTGCCTGCTGCCCCGGCCCACCTGCCTGCTCAGAAGTTGCCCTGCAGGCTAAAGGCCGGGCAACATGTTACTCTTTTCCAGGAATCTTCTAGGTTCCACTCCCTCACCTGCCCAAATGCCCTCATCCTTCAACATTGTTTTAGAAGTGTCCCTAGTTCTGTGGGAGATTAAGTCAGAGAAGGCTCCTTGGAGCAGGGGGCTTGGGATCAGCCCCAGGATTTCCTTGGGCCAGAGTAGAGGGCAGGAGTAGGATGGGCTGCCTCTTGAGCATCCTGTGGGCTGTTCATAGCAAATTTTGGAGTTCTTCATACAGTGAGCAAATTTATGTGTCTTTTACAGTGTTTATTTACACTCCAAATGCCAACTGGCATTTAGCCAAGGTTCACTGGACTGGTTAGATGGACTCCTTCCTTCTGGCCTTGTCTGATAGGGAAAGCACAAGTTTTATCTATCTCCTATGAAAGTTGTTGGGGTGAGCAGAGGATGTCAAGTCCAGCCCATTGGGGACAATGTGGGTTCCTTCCTGGTTATTACCTGTAGGGGGTTGGAAGACCCTGCCAACCTCTCTCCAATGGCAGGAGAACTGGGAAGGGAGACCTTGGTCTGTCCATGCACAGGAGTAGATTGGGTCTAAGCACTAGAGTGAGTATGGGATCGGGGTCCAGTTATTCAGCAGGCAGTGTTGTGACTAGAGGGATAGGAACAAGCAATTTATTAACATCACCTAGTGTGAGTATCACAGCAACCCATCACCAGCCAGCAGCTGTTATCCTCTTTGCTCACCTAAGTCCATGATGTCATAGGTCACTACATGGCAGACCTAGCCTTTCTCTGGCTCCAGGTAGATGAGGCTTAAAAAAAAAAAAAAAGGGGAAAGAAAGAGGCCAGAACTTTTGTGAGGAAGAAGCAGGGCACTGGGCTGAGAATGAAAACTCAGGTGGCACAGCCATGGACTGACATCCATTTAATCTTTCCCTCCCTCCCTCCCTCCTTCCCTCCCTCCCTCTCTCCCTCCCTCCCTCCTTCCCTCCTTCCCACCCTCCTTCCCTCGCTCCCTCCTTCCGTCCCTGCTTCCCTCTCTCCCTCCCTCCCTTCCTTCCTCCTCCTCTTTCTTCCTCTCTCACCCTCTCTCTCTCCTTTTTGGCCTTCCTTATTAGCATCCTTGATTTCATCCAAAAAATATATGTATTTTTACTGTATGTCAGTCAAAGTTATATGCTGAGGGTCCTGCTGAGAAAGCCTGATGGTGACAGGGATAGTACATGCTAGAGTTTTCAGAGGTTGTGTCCCTGGGCATGACGCACCATAGCTTGGGCCAATACTACTGTAGAGCTTGGGCCCCCTGAGTGCAGCTCCTGAAGGAAATGCAGAGGCTCCCACTCCCTTCCTCCCAACACATGTTAGGTGCCTGCTGGAGAGACAACCACCCTAACTTCCAGTTGTGCTCCACAGCAAGCAAACTTCCAGATTTACTCAGAGTATTCCAACAACCATCCCAACGCATGCATGGAGCTCTCCTGGCTCACCAAGCTCAGCCAGTACATGTATTTCCGTGAGGCCTGCTGGCTGCTGCAAAAGATGACTGACATCTCCCTCAATAGCTTCCTGCTGATCCCAGTGCAGAAGATCTGCAAGTACCCACTGCAGTTGGCCAAGCTGCTCAAGTATACCCACCCCCAGCACAGGTAGGAGGCTGCTGAGGGAGAAAGGACAGCCAGGGGGCTCCTCACACCCTGGGTCAGCCAGTTTGTTGAGTACTCCTGGTGAGCTGGGCACTACTATAGATACTGGGGTGACAACACAGAGTAAAACCATCCCTGCTCTCACAAGCTATTGTTGAGATGAGGGAAGAGGACAGAAATAGGATATTACATGCTGCCCTGTGTGGCACTTATGGAGAAGGTGGGGGTATGCATTGACAGGTGAAGGAATTGACAGGCCAGTGGCACAGCCCCAGAGGGAAGCAGCTCCACATGTGGTTCCAGGAGGCTCCCAGCGCTTCTCTGCTCTCCACCTCTCAGCCCTCTTCCATTTCTGTTCTTCCTCAGGTATTTCAAGGATGTGGAAGCTGCTTTACATGCCATGAAGGATGTGGCCCAGCTAATCAACGAATGGAAATGGAGACTTGAAAACATCAACAAGATTACTCAGGGGCAGAGCTCCATAGAGGACTGGGAGGTGAGTGCCCGACACTCCAGAAAATACTATGGGACTTGACCACTTCTTTTAAAATCATACTTCTGAAAAATCCAGGAGGGAGCTGGGGCAAGGAGCTATGCTCCTGGAACTAGCAAACAAGAGCTGGTAGCAGGAAATCCACTCACATGAGCTCTGGGCCTCAGTCCCTTAGTGCTGCCACCTAAAGCAGGCCTGGTGGCCTCTTTCCTGGAGAAGAGTGTGTGGGAGCTGACTCACATTACACAGCCACAAGAGATTAAGTATGATGCTGCTCCCAAAGTGCAGCCAGCCAGCCCAGCAAGAGGGAGCTGTCCCTCTGCCCTCAGGGGACAGGCCAGATCCCCAAGTGTGGGGATTCCCAACAGAGGGTGCAGGCCTGCCAGAGCATCACCACAGATGGATCACTATGAATCCGAGCGTCCTGGTTCTTTTTTTCTGGCTTGCACATTCCACTTGTATCTGCCAATCTTGTCTTCTAAGGCAGCATGGAGGTCTGAACTAATGGTGACATTTCAGTCCTCCAAGAGGCATTCCTTTTTTTTTTTTTTTTTAATTGAATGTATTGCAGTGACACTGGTTAACAAAATTATACAGGTTTCAGGTGCACACTTCTACAACACATCAACTGTACATTGTATTGTGTTCACCTCCCCAAGTCAGGTATCCATCCATCACCATGTATCTCCTGTACGCTCCTCCACGTCCCTCCATCCCTCCTCTGCTGGGCAATCACCACAAATGTCTGTGTCCATGAGTTTTTCCTTTTTTTCTCTTTTTTTGCTCAATCCTTCTACTTTCCCTGCAGCCCCCATCCCAACAGCTGTCAGACTGCTCTTTATGAGTCTGTCATTATTTTGCTTGTTAGCTCATTATGTTCATTAGATTCCACATAAAAGTGAAATCATACAGTACTTGTTGTCTCTCATTGGCCTATTTCACTTAGTATAATGCTCTCCAGGTCCGTTCATGCTGCCACTAAGGGTAAGGCTTCCTTCTTTATTTATTTATTTGTTTTTTAACAGCCAAGTAGTATTCTATGTGTAAATGTATCACACCTTTTTTATCCACTTATCTACTGATGGAAACCGGTTGCTTCCAAATCTTGGCTATGTAAATAATGCTGAATGAACACAGGAGTGCATATATTCTTTCGAATTAGTGTTTCTGGTTTCTTTGGATAAATTCCCAGAAGTGGAATCAGTGGGTCATAAGGCAGTTCCTTTTTTTTTTTTTTTTTTGAGGTAACTCCATACTGCTTTCCACAATGGTTGTACCAATATGCATTCCCACCAACAGTGCACCAGGGTTCCATTTTCTCCACATCCACACCAACACTTGTTGATTTATTGATGATAGTCATTCTGACAGGCATCAGGTGATATTTCATTGTAGTTTTAATTTATATTACAGATTAGTGTCATTGAGCATCTTTTCATATGCCTGTTTGGCCATTTGTATGTCCTTTCCAGAGAAGTGTCTATTCAGGTCCTTTGCACATTTTTTTAATTGGAGGGCTTGGGGGTTTTTTTGGTATTGAGTTTTTATTTTGGATATTAATCCTTTATCACATGTAAATTGGCAAATATGTTCTCCCATCCAGAGGGCTGGCTTTTCATTTTGTTCGTTTACTTTGCTGTACAAAAACTTTTTAGTTTGATGTTGTCCCCTTAATTTTTTCCTTTGTTTCCCTTGCTCGAGATTGCTACAAGAAATGGCCGAGATTTTACTGCCTGTTTCCTTCTAGGAGTTTTATGATTTCGAGTCTAACATTTAAGTCTTTAATCCATTTTGAGTTTATTCTTGTGTATGGTATAAGAAGGTACTCTAGTTTTACTTTTTTGAACAAATTATCCCAACACTAATTATTGAATACATTATCTTTACCCATTGTATTATTTGCCTCCTATGTCAAATATTAATTAAGAATAAAGGCTTGGGTTTGCTTCTGGGCTCTCTATTCTGTTCTACTGATATGTCTATTTTTTGCCAGTACCATGTTGTTATGATTACTATGGCTTTGTAGTATAGTTTGACATCAGGTAGCATTATTCCTCCAACTTTGTTCTTTTTTCTCAACATTGCTGTGACTATTCAGGTCTTTTGTGTTTCCATATAAATTTTAGTTCTAGTTCTGTGAAATACCAAGATAAGCCACTGGTATCTTCATAGCTGAATCTATAGATTGCTTTGGATAGGTAGTATGGACATTTTAATGATGTTAATATTTCCCTTCCATGAACATGGTATATGCTTCCACTTACTTGTATCTTTCATTTCTTTCTTCATTGTCTTCTAATAATTTTGCAAGTACAAGTCTTTTACATCCTTGGTTAAATTTATAACCAGGTATTTTATTCTTTTTGAAGCAATTGTGAATGGAATTGTTTTCTTAGTTTCCCTTTCTGATATTATTGGTGTAAAAATGAAACTCATTTCTGGGTATTTATTTTGTATTCCCCTGCTTTACTAAATTCTTTTATCAGTTCTAGTTTTTTGGTGGAATCTTTAGGGTTTTCTATATACAGTATCATGTTATCTGCAAATAATGGCAGTTTTACTTATTTCCAATTTGGTTGTCTTTTATTTCTTCTTCTTATTTGATTGTTGTAGTTAAGACTTCCAGCACTATATTGAATTAGAGTGGTGAAAGCAGACATCCCTGTCTTTTTCCTGATCTTAAGGGAGCCAGTTGTAGTTTTTGCCCACTGAATATGATGTTGGTTATGGGTTGGTCACATACGGCCTTTATATGTTGCAGTATGTTCCCTCTACTTCCACTTTGCTGAGAGTTTTTATCATAAATAGGTGCTGGATTTTATCAAATATTTTTCTACATCTATTGATATAATTAGGTTTTTATCCTTCATCTTATTTATGTGGTCTATCATGCTTATTGATTTACAGATATTGTACCAACCTTGCATCCCCAGAATAAATCCTATTTGATCATGGTGTATGATCTTTTTAATGTTTTACTGGAACCAGTTTGCTAAAATTTTGTTGAGGATTTTAATATCTATGTTCATCAGGGATATTGGCCTATAATTCTTTCCTTGTAGTGCCTTTATATGGTTTTGGAATCACGATGATGCTGGCCTCATAAAATAAGCTTGGAAGTCTTGCCTCCTCTTGAATTATTGTAATAGTTGGAGAAGGATTGATGTTACTTCTTTTCTGAATGTTTGGAAAAATTTACCTGTGAAGCCATCCAGTTCAGGACTTGTATTGGGAGTTTTAGGTTACTGCTTCAATTACTGTCTATTCAGATTCTCCGATTCTTTCTTATTCGGTGTTGGAAAATTGTATTTTCCTAGGAGGTTTTTCCTTTTGTCCAGATTGTTCAATTGTTGGCATACAGTTGTTCAGATTTTCTTACAATTCTTTGTATTTTTAAAAAAATTATTCTAAAGAGATAAAAGGGAGAGAAACATTATTGCTCCAACTATACATTCATTGGTTAATTCTTGCCCTGACCATGGATCAAATCCACAACTTGGTACACTGGGACAACACTCCCAACTAATTTAACTACCTGGTCAGGGCCCTTTGTATTTCTTTGGTGTCAGTTGTTACTTTTCTTTCATTTCTGATTTTTGGGGTCCTCTCTTTTTTCCTCGGTAAGTCTGGTTAAAGGCTTGTCGATCAAGCCCTGGCCAGGTTGGCTCAGTGTTTAGAGTATTGGCTTGTGGACCAAAGGGTCACTGGTTTGATTCCCGGTCAAGGACATGTACCTGTGTTGCAGGTTTGATCCCTGGGAGCAGCCAGGACTTGTGCGGGAGAAAACCAATCGATGTGTCTCTCTTTCCCTCCCTCCCTTGCACTTCCTCTAAAATAGATTCTCAGTCCCTTGCTCTCTTCTTCTTCTTGCGGATGTTGTTATGCTTCTTGTTTTCCCAATGGTCCCTTAAACTATTCTTTTTTAAAAAATATATTTTATTGATTTTTTACAGAGAGGAAGGGAGAGGGATAGAGAGTTAGAAACATCGATGAGAGAGAAACATCGATCAGATGCCTCCTGCACACTCACTACTGGGGATTTGCCCGCAACCAAGGTACATGCCCTTGACCGGAATCGAACCTGGGACCCTTGAGTCCACAGGCCGACGCTCTATCCACTGAGCCAAACCGGTTAGGGCTATTCTTTTTTTATTTGAAAAAATACCTTTAGGTGAGGATTAACAACAACAACAAAAAGGCTTGTCAATCTTGTTTATCTTTCGAACAAACCTTCTCTTGGTTTTATTGATCTTTTGTATATTTTTTAGACTATTTTTTTATTCGTGCTTGGATCTTTATCATTTCCTTCCTTCTACTCACTTTGGGCTTTTTTCACTGTTTCCCATAAATACTGGATTATTGTATTCTCATTTTCATTTGTTTCAAAGTATCTTTTGATTTCTTCTTTGATTTCATTAACTCACTCATTGTTTAAGAACATGTTATTTACCTCCATGTCTTTGTGTGTTTTTCAGATTTTTCTTGTAATTGCTTTCTAGGTTCATAGCCTTATGGTCAGAAAAGATGCTTGATCTGATTTGAACCTTTTTAAATTTACTGAGACTTGTTTTGTATCCTATCATGTGGTCTATCCTAGAAAATGTTTCATGTACATTTTAAAAGAATGTGTGTGTGTGTGTGTGTGTATATATATATATATGTATATGTGTGTATATATATATATATATATATACACATACATATATATATATATATATATATATATATATATATATATATGTATGTATATTCTACTGCTTTGGGTGAAATGCTCTGAAGATTTCAATTAAATTTGACCGATCTAATGTGCTATTTGAAGCCACAATCCATTCCCTACTATGACTGTTGATCTCTCCATTTATATCCATTAAGATTTGCTTTACATATTTAGGTGCTCCTATGTTGGGTGCATAAATGTTTACCAGGGTTATATCCTCTTGTTAGATTTCTCTCTTTATCATTATGCATTGTCCTTCTTTGTCTCTTATTATACCAATTTAAAGACTCTTTTGTCTGATATATGTGTTACCCCAGCTTTTTTTTTATTTTGCATTTTCATTTGCATGAAATATTTTTCCATCTTTTTACTTTTAGTCTACATTTTTCATTCTGAAGTGGGTCTTTTGTAGACAGCATATATATGGGTTTTGTTTTCTTATCCATTCAGGTACACTATGTTGTTGTGTGTTTTTTTATTGGAGCACTTATACCACTTACATTTAAAGTGATTATTGATAGATATGTATTTATTGTTATTTTTTTTACTAAGTTGTTGGGTTTTCTCTTATTATTATTATTTTTTTTAGAGAAACATCGATCAGCTGCCTCTTGCACATCTACTGGGGATGTGCCCGCAACCCAGGTACATGCCCTTGACCGGAATCGAACCTGGGACCTTTCAGTCCGCAGGCCGACGCTCTATCCACTGAGCCAAACCGGTTTCGGCTGTTGTGTGTTTTTTTATTGGAGCACTTATACCACTTACATTTAAAGTGATTATTGATAGATATGTATTTATTGTTATTTTTTTTACTAAGTTGTTGGGTTTTCTCTTATTATTATTATTTTTTTATTATTAAATCTTTATTGTTCAGATTACATTTGTTCCTTTTTTTCCCCCCCATAACTCCCCTCCTCCCAGTTCCCGCCCCACTCTCCGCCCTCACTCCCCACCCACTGTCCTCATCCATAGGTGCACGATTTTTGTCCAGTCTCTTCCCGCATCTCCCATTCCCCTTCCCCCCCCCCAAGAATAGTCAGTCCATTCCCTTTCTATGTCCCTGATTCATTATAATCACCAGTTCATTCTGTACATCAGATTATTTATTCACTTGATTCTTAGATTCACTTGTTGATAGATGCATGTTTGTTCACAATTTGTATCTTTACCTTTTTCTTCTTCTTCCTCTTCTTACAGGATACCTTTCAGCATTTCGTATAATACTGGTTTGGTGATGATGAACTCCTTTAGCTTTTCCTTATCTGTGAAGCTCTTTATCTGACCTTCAATTCTGAATGATAGCTTTGCTGGATAAAGTAATCTTGGTTGTAGGTTCTTGGTATTCAGCACTTTGAATATTTCTTGCCATTCCCTTCTGGCCTGCAAAGTTTCTGTTGAGAAATCAGCTGACAGTCATATGGGTATTCCCTTGTAGGTAACTGACTGTCTTTCTCTTGCTGCTTTTAAGATTCTCTCTTTGTCTTTTGCTCTTGGCATTTTAATTATGATGTGTCTTGGTGTGGTCCTCTTTGGATTCCTTTTGTTTGGGGTTCTCTGCAGTTCTTGGACCTGTAAGTCCATTTCTTTCACCAGGTGGGGAAAGTTTTCTGCCATTATTTCTTCAAATAGGTTTTCAATATCTTGCTGTCTCTCATCTTCTGGCACCCCTATAATTCTGATATTAGTGCGCTTGAAGCTGTCCCAGAGGCTCCTTACACTATCTTCGTATTTTCGGATTCTTTTTTCATTTTGCTTTTCCGGTTGGGTGTTTTTTGCTTCTTCGCATTTCAAATCTTTGGCTTGATTCTTGTGCTCCTCTGGTCTGCTATTGGGTATAATATTCTTTATTTCAGTCCGTGTATGCTTAATTTCTAGTTGGTTCTTTATCATAGCATCGAGGGTCTCATTAGTTTTCGTGAGGCTCTCCTCAAGTTTATTGCAAGCCCTCAAAATTGTGTTTTTTAGCTCTATATCCTCCATTTCTGTCAATTTTTTTTGTCTCCGCATTTTTTATGCTTTCTTGGTGCACCCCCTTGTGGTCTTTGTGCGCAGTCTTGTTCTAGTTAAGCCTTGATTGTTGTAGTTAATACTAGAGGGATTTGACCAACAGGCCGACTGGCTGTGAGAATCAGCTGTGGGAAAACTTCTGTCCTCTGGGGAGGTGCTAATCTAGCCTTTGCCTGAGGCGATCCGACAAATGGCTCTGCGCAGGGCTTGGGCGAGGCGGGATCAACAGGGCGGGCGGAGGGAGCAGTTATGGCTGCTCTCAGTCCCGTTCCCAGAGGCTTTGCTTCTCAGAACCCTGGCAACCGCTGCAAACCTCGGAGAGAAAGCTGCCCTCACGTTCCAACTGATGCTAGACAATCCCACTTCTCCCGTTTGAGTCTGAGTCCCTAGAGACTCGCCCAGATCTGGAGCTCAGAGTCTGAGACTCCCTCCTGATTGAAAACGACAACCGCGCCCTCAGCCACCAGCCCGCTTTGCGCGCGCACCTCCGCACCTTTAAATTTTCCACACTGCGCCTCCTCTGAGCCTCGGTATGCTGTTGTCTTTCCTTCTAGTTGAAGAGTCTCTCCTCAGCCAGCCTCCCTGTGGTTCTGGGTTATGTCCGTTCCGTCTTTTAGTTGTATTTTTGAAGTAGTTGTTTGCGGCAGCAGTCTCCGGTGTTTACCTATGCCGCCATCTTGGTGGTATCTCCTTATTATTTTTTCTTTATTGATTAAGGTATTACATATGTTCTTATCCCCTATTGCCCCCCCCCATGTCTGCACCCATTGGTTATGCTTATATGCATGCATACAAGTCCTTGGTTGATCTCTCCCCCACCCTCCCCTACCTTCCCTCTGAGGTTTGAGCATCTGCTCCATGCTTCTCTGTCTCTGGATCTGTTTTTGTTCATCAGTTTATGTTGTTCATTATAATCCACAAATGAGTGAGATCATGTGATATTTATCTTTCTCTGACTGACTTCTTTCGCTTAGCATAGTGCTCTCCAGCGCCATCCAAGCTGTTGCAAATGGTAGGAGTTCCTTCCTTTTTACAGCAGCATAGTATTCCATTGTGTAGATGCACCATGGTTTTTTAATCCACTCATCTGCTGAAGGGCATTTAGGCTGTTTCTAAATCTTAGCTATTGTAATTGTGCTGCTATGAACATAGGGGTGCATATATCCTTTCTGATTGGTGTTTCTAGTTTCTTGGGATATATTCCCAGAAGTGGGATCACTGGATCAAATGGGAGTTCCATCTTTAGGGGGTTTTTCTGAGGGAACTCCATTCTGTTCTCCACAGTGGCTGCACCAGTCTGCATTCCCACCAGCAGTGCACGAGTGTTCCTTTTCTCCACATCCTCACCAGCACTTGTCATTTGTTGATTTGTTGATGATAACCATTCTGACAGGTGTGAGATGATACCTCATTGTTGTTTTGATTTGCATGTCTCGGAGGATTAGTGAGTTTGAGCATGTTTTCATATGTCTCTTGGCCTTCTGTATGTCCTCTTTCAAAAAGTATCTATTTAGGTCCGTTGCCCATTTTTTTTATTGGGTTGTTTATCTTCCTTTTGTTAAGTTGTATGAGTTCCTTGTAAATGTTGGAGATTAAACCCTTATTGGAGATAACATTGGCAAATATGTTCTCCCATGCAGTAGGCTTTCTTGTTGTTTTGTTGATGGTTTCTTTTGCTGTGCAGAGCTCTTTATTTTGATGTAGTCCCATTTGTCTATTTTCTCTTTAGTTTCCATTGTCCTGGGAGCTGTATCAGTGAAGATACTGCTTCAGCATATGTCTGAGATTTTGCTGCCTGTGGATACTCTTATTATTTTTTTAATTCTCACCTGAGAATATGACTTTTATTGATTTTAGAGAGAGAGAAGAAGGGAAGAAGGGTAAGGGGGAGAGAGGGGGGAAGGGGGGAGAGAGAGAGAGAGAGAGAGAGAGAGAGAGAGAGAGAAACATCAATGTGAGAGAAACATCTATCAGTTGTCTCCTATATGTGTGTATGTGCCTGCGACTGAACCAAGAACCTTGGGTGTACAGAATGACACTCCAACCAACTGAGCCATCCAGCCAAGGGCTGCTTCTTCTTCTTGATGCAGGCACTTTCACGTTTCTTGTAATACTGGTTTGGAGGTAAGAAATTCTTTAGCTTTTTCTCGTCTGGGAAGCCCTTAATTTCTCCTTCAATATTAAATGATAGCCTTGCTGACTAATGCAGTCTTGGCTGTAGTTCCTTACTTTTCTTCACTTTGACTATTTCATGCTAATCCCTTCCAGTGTAAAATGTTTCTGTTGAGAAATCAGCTGACAGTCTTATGGGAGCACCTCGTAACTGTCTCTTACTGCTTTTAAGATTCTCTTTGTCTTTAATGTTTGCCATTTTAGTTACGTCTTGGTGTAGGCCTCTTTGGATCCCTCTTGTTTGGGGTTCTGTGCACTTACTGGACTTGTATCTTTTTTCTTCACCAGGTTAAGGAAGTTTTGGTCATTATTTCTTCAAATCGATTCTCAATCCCTTGCTCTCTCTCTTCTTCTGGTACCCCTATCACAAGGATGTTATGCCTCATGTATTCCCAACGGTCCCTTAACCTATTCTTTTTTAAATTTTTGCTGCTCTGATTGGGTATTTTTTGTCTTCCTTGTGTTGAAAATCGCTGATTCAATCCTCTGCTTCATCCAACCTGTATTTCTTCCAGTGTATTCAGTTCTGGTATTGTATTCTTCATTTCTGATTGGTCTTTTTTTTTATGGTTTATCTTTTTCCATGCTTTGAGCAACCTGTAACCATTAGTCTGAACTCTTTATCTGATAAATTGTCTCCCTCTGTTTCATTTAGCTATTTTTCTGGAGATTTCCTTGTTCTTTAATTTGGGGCCTGTTTCTTTGTCTTCCCAGTTTAGCTGCCTTTGTTTGTTTTGTACTAGATAGATTTGTTATGACTCCCAGTCTTCATGGGGTGGCCTTTACATAGTAGGTGTTCTGTGGGGTTCAGGGGTGCAGTGTTCTTGACACCTGACCTGGGTGGTCCAGGACTGTTCCTTGTATCGGTTATGTGGGCCCTCCTGTGGTAATTGTGTCTTGAGTGCTGTTGACTTATTTGTGCATGGCATTGACCTGAGGCTCAAGCCTGATCACAGCATGTGAGTCGCTCTGCAGGTGCTGACCACATGAAGTGAAATTTGCCTCTACAGTGTCTGGTACCTACCAATATCTCTCTGTGGATATGCTGCTTATGAAGCTTATTGGGTACTGCTCTGATGTTGTCTGAAGCTCGTGGCTCTCTTTGCGGTCTCTCACGGGGAAGATCTCCTGGCCAGGAGCTCCGAACTCATCTACTCAGGGAAGCTGATTCGAGTTACACAGCCACAAGCCAAGAGCCAGCAGAGGATGTTTTTTCTCTTTGACCACCAACTCATCTACTGTAAGAAGGTACAGTAAGAAGGTCTCTCTTTCCTGCTCGACAGCCTATTTAGAGCAGAAATGGAGAAAGTGAAGCTAAGGGCTAGAAGCAACTGCCCAGAGAAAAGATGACACAAACAGGGCACCTTTTTTCCCAGAGCCTTGAGTATGGCAGGCCCTTCCCTGGTCTTGCCCTTAGGGCCAGGATGACGGTGGGAGAGTGAGTAGCCCAGGGACTATGGGGTGGCCCTCGCAGCCTGACCAGGGCCCGGTACTATAAGAACACCCTCCTCTCTGAACAAAACCCAGTTTCCCCTCCCTAGCCCTGGAGTCTTCTGCTCCAGTAGCTTCCCTACCTCCTCTGTGCTGCTAGCTCTACTTCTCTTTTAAAACATTGCCTAAGTAACTCTATCCAGAAGCCCTCCTGACAACTGACTTGGCCCAGGTATACCTGGTGCTCTTCTCTGCTGTGGTATGGACCCTGGCTCACTATTTGTATCCATGGCTGCTTGCCCACAAAACTACAGGTGCCTTTAAAGACCCTCAGGCTAGCCAATAACTTAACTGAAGGAGTGAGGCTCTTCATCATAGATTTGGCACATAATTGGGGGCTGTACTAGGCTCACTATGCCCTTGTGAGCTTATCCTCTGCTAGGGAGGTAGGTGTGTGGCCCACCAGCCCTTCCAGTTACAGGGCAGTGAGTGACACAGGGTCTTAGAGATAGTCAGGAGAGCAGTTCAAAGTATGGGGAGGGATCCAACAAGCAGGCTGGGCTGGCAGCTCACGGTGCCTCTGGCAGGACCTTCTACACCAGGATGTGCTGTATTATAAGGGCTGAGTGGAAATGGATAGCTTAGAGGTAGTGGATCTAGAGTACTGGAAGGATAAAGACCTCCACATGAGCATCAAGAATGCCTTCCAGCTGCACTATGGAACCATGGGAGAGAGCTACCTGCTGTGTGCCAGGAAGCCTGCAGAAGCAGTGCTGGCTCAAAGCCTTTGCCAGGGAGAGGGAGCAGGTGTGGCTGGACCAGAAGACAGGTGAAATACCCGCTCTCAACTTTGCTGCACTGCAAGGGCCCACCAGGCCTCCTTACCCTGGAATGCAAGGTCAGGACAACTGTTGACTGGGACTGCATGTCTCATAGACCAAGGGTCTCAGGGTTTGGTGAGGCTCCAGGGTCTCTTGATTTCAGCCCCAGGGAATGGTTCTGCTGGCCTTTTGTGGGGGGAGGGGTTGCTTCCAACACACGTACACTCAAGTGTGCTCAGTTGCAGGGATAACACTGGAGTGGGAGGTGGGACTGACCTCCAGAAGCCTGTCCCATCCCCATATGAGCAGGGTATCTCCCCACCACATTCCCCTCCTGTCCATGTGCCCCTTGTCCTCATACTCAGCAGTGACCAGATTGACTCTTGGCTTGGGAAAAGCCTCTGGTGAAAGATGGGGTAGGGCAAGGGGAGAATGTGGGGAGGGCTCTGAGAAGGGCACCAGGAGGAGCACCTTGGCTCTGTCTGGAGCCAAGGCCAGCTGGCTGAGCAGGACAGTCCCTGCAGCATGGTGAGCCCTGTGCACTGTAGAGCGAGTATGGTACACAGAGGGCTGCTCCATGGCCAGGAAGCATAGGACAAAAGGACTGTGGGCAGGGGAGGAGGGGAAAGTAGAAGAGCAGCAAAGTCCTGGCAGGGAAGCAGGCATCTCATTTGTGCCCCTCGCTCCCAGGCTTCTCCATCACTAAGCTGCAAAGGGAGCAAGCCATGCTGAATGCCAGCAAGCAGCAGGCACCTGGGAAGCCCAAAGGTAAGCAGGTGGTAGTCCCATATCCACTTTAGCAGCCTAGTCCTGATCAAACCCTTCTCTGACCCCCAAGGCAAAGTGAGCTAGCACCTAGGTCCTCAGTTACCCATTGCCCTTTGCAGGTGTTTGTTCCCAAAGGTTGGTGATAAGGGGTCACCACTGATGAAACTTATGTCAGTATGCATTTGGAATTCTTGCTCTCTATCACCTCAGACAACCCTGCCCCCAAGCAATACCATTAGTAATAGTGACAGTGCTCACTTCCCCAGGCCTGCTTTGTGGCAGTCATCCTCACAGCCACCTTACATCCCCATTCCCACAGAGGCACTGAAACTGCCTTGCACAGAGCCTATGCCATGGAGAAGCTCCAGGGCCTCACACCTTCCAGGTCCCTTAGCCCTCATCTCTGCACACTACAAGAGGGTGGCTCAGGCTCCTGGGTGTAGTAACCCCACTGGAAGCAAGTTCCCTACCATGGGAGTCTGAGGCAGAGCCTTGGGACAGGTCCCATGCTACCACCCCACAGCAGAGGATGCCATTCTGCCCTGTACTAATGACTCTCTAGGCACTTATATAACCCCTTCTGTCTCCTTACCCAGCCCTCAGACAGCCCTACTATCTGATGCACCAAGAGCACCTGACATTGCTAACCAGCCTGCCCCAGCAACAGGTCTTGGTGCTGGAAGAGCCCAAGTAGAAGCCATCCACCTTCTGGTATAGCATTAGCGGCTGGCGCCCTTCCCCAAGTGAGCCTATTCCCCACCAACAGCACTGTCTTGGCCTGCTCTGCCAGCTAGTCTCCAGTTTTCCCTCCCCAAGGTTCACCCATGGCTTCCGGCCCTCCTCTGCCTACTCTGCAAACTGGAAGTGAGCAGGGCTGAGCAAGGAAATGGCTTGGTGTCACCAGTTCGTACCAGGCTCTGCACCTATTCTTGGTTCTTCCTCACTACTGATGCACTACATACACAAGCTGGAGGGGCAGGAGCCCCACAGCACAGGAACCTCCCGCCACCCTCCCTACCTTTGTGGGGCCTCCTGGAAACTACAGCTGAGAACCATCAGCAAGATGGACATGTGTAAAAGGACTGACTACTTTAGACTCTCTTCTTCATACATCTAATCATACCTCCTCCTGTTTTCTCTGGGCAGGAGGAGACTGTCTGCCTTCCACCACTTGGAAAACTGGGCTGTGTGCCCCTCTGCCCTCCAATTCTCCTTGCAGGCCTCCAGCTGATGGTGCCAGGCAGCTGACATCTCTGGAGGGTGGGAACCGGGTATTCTGCATATGACCACACCTGGCCCCAGAGCCCATCCATTTTGTCTCCCAGTTCCTCTCTAGACACTCTCTTCACTTGTAATGTGTTTATAATCAACTGCAAACTTCCATCAGGGTATGTCCACATGTAGCTGTGTGTTGACTCCAGAACCTGGTTCCAGTTTTTTTGTTTGGATTTTGTTTTTCAAAATGGAGAAAAAGAACTGTTAGTGACACAGGAAGATTGCCTTACCCTAAGTAAGCATGAGAAGCCATAAGGACTGAGTTCTATAGCCCAGCATGCAGGACTGACCTGTCCACCCAGAAGCCAGTGAGTATGTGGATTGGAGGGGGAAGCCTACATCCCACCCCAAGGAAGGGTGCCCATGAGTACATCCAGGGCCTGGCTTGTGGGTGCAAAGTGCCAAGCAGCCCCTCTAGCCCATGGGAATTCAGCAGCATGTAGTCACTTGCACTACTCTACCTTCTCCAAGCCAAACACTACATTAATTTCATAAAAAAAACTTGTAAAAAATAAACTGGCTGCCAGCCCTTGTTTTCTATGGATGTCTATGCATTTTCTCCTCTGTATGCCCACCTTTCCTTAACCTGGAGTAAATAATCCCAGTAGCACCCAGAATTGGGAGTAGGGCCTCACCTAGTTGAGCTCATGCCTCACGGTTTTAGTGAAAAGAGGCTAAAGTGGCTAGGCTAACTGATTGAAGGAGGCTCAGGGCCACTGGGAGCTGTCCAAGTGAGGTATGGCTGGCTCAGCCCCTCTCTCCCCTTAGGGCCTAGAAGCCCACTCCCTCTCTGACTGCTCTCAGAGTTTATATTTAGCTGAAATTAGCAAATGTGTTCGGGGAACAGGCAGTCCATAATCTTTCTGTGTCTCAGCATCTTCCTTAGTGAAAGGGGGAAGAATGTGTCTTCCCAGGAGGACCTGAGCTACAGGACCAGAAGAAGAGGAATGAGGGTGGCTTTCCTCCCCCTTCCCACCTAGGGAAACAGTCCTCACAACCTGTGGCCTCCACAAACCCTTACACACTGCCAAGGTCAAGAATACCTGGGAAGCAGCTGAGCACTACAGGGCTTTTGCTCGAAACCACTGGATTTCCAAACTTTAGAGAAACTACAACACCTCCCAGGCAGGTAAACCACCTTGAGACAAAACCTACAGGGAAAAATCATGAAAACCATAATATGCAACACAAGTCAATCTTTATTCAAAACTGCAGTGTTAATACATAGCTCTTGTTACAATAAACATGCTTTTAATAATTTTAAATCTAAGCTCATCTACTTATCAGATTGCATAAAAAATTAAAATAGTATGAATTTACAGACAATAGAACTAGATCAGGATGGATATTCCATTCCTTTGTATTGATTGACATCTAAGTTCAATGCAGAGGTGAGGGATGCCTTTAACACTGGAAGACAATGCTGACGTAAATTTAAAAATGTACCAAGAGAACAGTCTAAAAAACAGTATTTAGAAATGATTTAAAAAAAATTTTTTAAAGGAACCATTTCCTGGTCAGTCACAACCTATGTGGCTCCTTGGTGCCTCTCCTTCAAGTGGCTGTCAGAACAATCCTGCAGGGTGCACAAGAGTGCTGGCCTCAGATCGTTTGACTATTCACTCATCTACACAAGGACCTGGGGAGACTCCAACAGGGTTCAGGAGGCAGAGATGAGCTGCCTATCACCTCCAACGTACAAATCCTGGAGAATACCATCTCCCATAGTTCATTCGGGTTCCCTGGATAGAGATGTCCACATCTCCTCTGTCCTTGTCCCAAGTGAGTTGACTCTAGTCCTGGGAACTTTTATAAAGTGATGACATCCACAGGTTTTCTGTTCAAGTGAATAGAGTGGATAAAGAGATAAATTCTCTGAAACATCTAAGATCAACTTGTAACTTTCTACCTGAAAAGATCAGACCCTCCTCTGAAGCGTGTCATTTGCAGTCTGCTCAAGTCAGATGGACACACACACACATACTTGAAATGTGCCAGAGAGGAGAGCTAAACAGCCTGCCCTTTCCCTAAGCCAACCACACTCCTATTTATAGATTATCCCCATTCCATAGAAAGCACCAGAGAAGGACCAGAAGTTGCCTCCCACCTCAAGCCATGCATCCTTAAACCACCCTTGCAACCAATGGAGGGTGTCAGACAGGTGTCCTGTCCTATATGGGCAATGCTCAGGCTAGCAATGACTGAGGCACCCAGCTGCCAGATGGAAAGAAGGTGGCCTAACTGGTCCGAGTAATACTGTTTCCAAAGGACAGGAGAAATTTGGGCTTCCTTTTTAAAGCAGGCTCCACTATTGATGTGGCCTGTGTTTACCATCCTTCCACAATCAATCACTGGCAGACACACTCACAGAAACCCACAGAAAGGAACATTGCCAGATATTTGCATATCCAAAGTGCCTTAAGAATATATTTCCTCTCATTATTGAAGTCATGATGCTACCCTAGAGAGCCAGGCATTGTCTGCCCAGCTTGGCAAGGACAGGATGCTTAATAACCAAGTGCCCATCCCAAGCCTTAGGACCTTCCTCAATCTCCTGTAAACACTATGTTTGCTTTGTACACAAGAAAGTCACAGAATAGCAACTGGTAGGTCTAATAACCACACCAACAAGAAGGCTCTGAAAAGATTTATCATAAGAAACATAAAAGGTTCTGGAAGTACCTATGTGCCTGTTTTATCACAAATGGCCCTGGCCCTGATGTTATCCTCCCTTCTCAGAGGCAGCAAGTTAATGGGATTATGGCTTACTCATCGCTAAACACTCAGTCATCCAGTCTAGAGCATTTCCATAAGCAGAGAAACGGACCTCCTAAACTGTAGGAAAGAGGCTGTAAAAACAAAACAAATTAAATATCCATGATGATGTCCATGTTTATAGGAATTAGGATCCTTTGCTTGCCTGTCTCAATTTCTAAAAGAACTATAATTCAGCTAAAAGGCTCTCAAATTAGGAAGCAAAATTTCTTTAAATGTTCCACTATTGTGCTTTGGATATCAAATTATGCAAGTTTATAACAGGACTTTTATTCCTTAATTAATTTTACTAGAAAGAATTTAAAATGCTGCTAAAATTACAACCTATAATACTTTTACTATTCATAAGTCCAGATTCATACATACTAGACAAGGTCTACCTTTCACCATCATATTTGATAGCTGATGCCCTGATAGTTTCAACTGAAAAGATATATTCCGTAACACAAAAGTATCTGATAAAGTCTCTCAGCTCCACTTGACAAAAGGGAAAAGGTTTAAAAAGAAAATTAGGGGGAAAGTGTCATGATACTGATATAAATGGGGGGAAATGAAACCCATTCTGCTTTCTCTTGAAAACACCATTTAATTTAGTGCTCATGAAAACACTCACCCTAAGTCTCAAGTACGCCTGAAGAAACATCCTATATAACTTCTAATAGATTCTTCTTGATTTCAAATGTCTCCATCCCTAGGTAGAGTGTGTGTGTGTGTGTGTGTGTGTGTGTGCGCGCGCGCGCGTGCGTGCGCGCGCGCGTGCGTGTGTGTATTCCCATTTTTTTGTTTGGGGCATTTTAAAAGCATACACTAAAATCACATTTTCTCCTATCAACTAATTACACTAACTTGAGGAAACTGAGTTTTCTGTTACTTGTACCTGGAACCTATTGATATTACAAATCATCCACTATACAGAAGGAATTACAACACGAAGTTTAAGAAGTGTGCACAAACTGTACACACACACATGGGTTAAGTGCTTATGAAGCAATTTAAAGTTCTTTTTAGTAGACACACTATATTAACAGGTATTAGGAATAAGAAATCTTTTCTTTACATGATCCATGCAAAAATATTCTTAAACTTTTTTATTATAAAATAAAATGTGAAAAAAGTTACAAAGAATACTTACTATAAAAAATAAGATTACCAAAGGCTCAGGGGTGAGGTGTCCCACTCACCAATCTGGATGAAAGCCTAACCAAAGTTAGAGCCCTGGCCTAGTTGCCAGAGACATAAGAAGAGTAGACTCCCCTTCCCAACCAAAGCACACAGCACTTGAAACAATGATGGGGTAGAACAGGGGCATACTCCTCCACCTGCCTGACAAACTGCTGAGAGGAGACAAAACCTCTCCTCACACTCCCTCTGACTCTATCTGAGAACAGACTAACTCCCATCAATATAAGTTGAACCCATGTGTGGTTTTTTTTTTCAAAAAAAAAAATTCCTCAATTTCTTATATACAATATTCATATTTTAACCACAAAATCCATTCCATAATAATCCTTGGCAGGTAAATGCATTTTGATGCTGCCTGACCCTTTGTTGTCTATACCTGCTTTGTGCTGAGTGCTCTCAGTTGCCAGAAGAGATGGCAAAAGAGGCTCACAGACAATAGACATCAGACCTCCCCACACCTGTCTCCAGATGGTCTCAGAGGATTAAGTCTCCATCAAGTGGATAGGCCTAAACATAGTGGCAGCCTCACCCAATTTCAAATAAAGTTTTGTTCCCTTTTTAATAGTTCTTAAATATACAACTTTCTTCAGAACACACAGCTGAAATCTTACCCTTCTTTGTGGGGGAAAGAACAGCAATGCCTACATATATTTTCAGCTAACGCAAATATTTCTCAGCAAAGAAAAAAAAGGGAAATGATTTTCTAAACTAAATCAGGAAGAGAACAATACCTCCTCCAAGTTTTTCTGTTTATTTCACATATCTTCCATCTTAGGAAAATAACTTAATTCTACATAGGGCTTTTCCAATAAAGATATAGAAAACAGCATCTCTATCTGTAAAGAGCTTTGTAATGGTAATTCACATAGCAATCCAGAGAAAACTGGTTTGCTGATGGACAAACTGCAAATTGCCCCTAAATGTACTGGCCATACAACTCTAGTCTCTCATGATAATCTTTTAAGAATGTCTACATCAAACTGACCCTGCAAACCTAAATGAAAAGATAGTGATGCCCATTAACCTGGCTACTCCAAGTAGCTGTGGCCCACCCTATACTCTCCCAGTCCCTACCACTCTCTCCCAGTGCAATCAGTATGAAATAAACTGATGGCTAAAAACTAAAATTTCATGTTTCCAACTGGCAACCTACATCAACCCCAAAGGATGAAGAATCACTTAAGAGATTTCAGATGCTCTATGAAGAAATTCACGTTAACACTTACATCTTTAAGACTCTGCATACATTACAACACTGCATTAGTGATACATACAAGTTATAAAATATTTTCCATTCCTTTGGATTTTGCATATGATGGTTTTGCATCAATCACTGCAGGTAGTTTGAGCAAGCTTTGTTTTTGTGTTTGTTTTTTTAAACATGCATTCAACTAGATATGATTTCAGAATACATTAATACTCCCTTTTCATCATTACAGTTAGCTAAAAAAAATTGCCAGGCAGCCCCAAAACATGACTTGCTTTAAGACCAACCCATAGTTAGTTGGAGACTAATGGTGCTGAGATCTGCAAGGCCGGACCATAGTAGTATTTAGCTAAGTGTCGAGAGCATTAAGAAGAGAAAGTCCTGGTTGGAGGCACAAGGCCTGCAGCACCAGCTGTGGAATATCCAGGATGTGACTGCACAGCTCCATCCTCAAACCTGGGCAGGAGGGAGAAAGACACACAATCACAGAGCTCCTCTGGCACTGCTGCTATGAAAAGGAGGCATTTCAATTAGAGGAGGATGAAATCCAAAAAGGGCAGCAGAAAGAAAATGTTCCTGATACCCGTGGACCTCACAGAGGCTTCCAATTACACTGGAATACTACTTATTTTGCAGGAGGCGGGTACAAGAAACATAGTATAGCAAGTACTCAATGGTTTCCTTCTTTTTTCTACTTTGTGGAGACCCAATATGAGCAAAAATTTAAACACTTGAACAGTCAGGTAGCATTTTTCTCATTAGTGCTTAAATTATGGTAGATTTGCCATTCTCCACTGGAAAAAAAATGCACTTTAGTCAAGAGCCAACCTAGGCTTCACCAGTCACTTACATTTGCAGGTGATCACCACTGAGGGGGCACGTAGCTGTAGGTGGGCGTTCCTGGACCCCGATACGTGGGCACAGTGACTGGGTGGGGGGCGACAGGAGTTGGGGAGTGGGCAGTAAGCAGGGTACCTGCAAGAAAGAGGAGTGTGTGGCAGGTAGCACTGCCCACAGTCAAGGCTGTCCTTACATCATCACTACACAACTTTATGCTTCCTCTGACAAGGAGGGACGTAAGGAAGAGGGAAAGGGCCTTGGACCTTGACTGCTGTCAGAACTCTGATTATATAAGAACTACTCAAAGATGTATAAACACAGAAAGCTCATAATGGTAATACATTTGTGGAAACCTTTATGCTTTCCCTTCATATAAACATACTTAATTATTTTTGTGGCTTAGATGATAAAAGACAAAATAAAAATATGATTCAGCCTTAAAAAGGAAGAAATCTGTCACATGTTACAACTCATATGAACCTTGAGAACATTATGCTAGGTGAAAAAAACCAGTCACAAAAAGACAAGTACTGTATGATTCCACTTATTTGAAGTCCCTAGAGTAGTCATTGATAGAGACAGAAAGTAGAATGCTGGTGTCAGGGGTTGGCGGGCAGGGGGAAAGAAAAGTTGTTTAATGGTAACAGCGCTTTAGTTTTGCAAGATAAAAAAAAGTTCTGGAGGTGTTTCACAACAGTGTAAATATACTTAACACTACTGAACTGTACCCTTAAAAATTATTAATATGAAACAGAGATCCTAACCAGAACTTGGCCCGAGCTCTTAGCCAGAACTTCGCTGGAGTTCTAGATCAGAACTTGACCAGAACTTGGCTGGAGATCCTGGCTAGAGAACCTGGCTAGGCTGCTGATCAACTGAACGCTACCTCCGTGTCATTCCTTCTTCGCCGACTCCGTCCACACCTTTGGGGACCCCTGGACCTGCTGGGGTTGGACCCCAGCACCCAGGTTGTGGGTTCAGTCCCCAGTGGGGGGCATGCAGGAGGCTGCCGATCAATGATTCTCTCTCATCATTGATGTTTCAGTCGCTCTCTCCCTCTCCCTTCCTCTCTGAAATCAATAAAAATATTTATTTTTTAAAAAGGTGGGGCAAGCCCTAGCCCACCTAGCCCAGTGGTCGGCAAACTGCGGCTCGGCAAGCCGCGGCTCGTGAGCCACATGCGGCTCTTTGGCCCCTTGGGTGTGGCTCTTCCACAAAATACCAACTTCTGCACGTGGCCCATACAGCTTTCAATCGCACTGTACATGCGTGCCACCACACGGTATTTTGTGGAAGAGCCACACTCGGGGGGCCAGGGAGCCGCATGTGGCTCGCAAGCCACGATTTGCCAACCACAGTCCTAGCTGGTTTGACTCAGTGGATAGAGCGTCGGCCTGTGAACTGAAAGGTCCCGGGTTCGATTCCGGTCAAGGGCACATGCCCGGGTTGTGGGCTCGATCCCCAGTGGGGGACTTGCAGGAGGCAGCCGATCCATGATTCTCTCTCATCATGGATGTTTCTATCTCTCTCTCCCTCTTACTTCCTCTCTGAAATCAATAAAAATATTTTTTTAAATAAAAAAAAAATTATTAATATGAAACAAATAAATGGAAGAGAGGGATTGAGGGAGATTCCAAACCATATAAACTTCAGAGTACATTAAGCTAAATGTATTTTTCCCTAACCTGAAGAAAAGGCAGCGATTATCTGAGTCCATTTGCAGATAAGCACTACCTCAAAAATAACAGCCTTCACTCTCTTCACTCTCCTGTCTCACTGCCCACACTCATCCCAGACCTGTCTTCCCTTCCTTCTACCTGTCACAAACATGTACATGACAGAAAGTATAATCTCTTTTGCCTTCAAAGATAAGTATGGGAAAACCAAATAAAATAGAGACTAAGAAGAAACACCTTTCTCTCTGGCATGATTTTCTTAATTGAAGTAAAGTTTAGAAAACATAGAGGGAACAATATATTTTTTTTAAAATCCCAGTCCTGGGCAACCAAGTACATCGTGTGTACCTGGCCCCTGCCACAGAGGTGCCAGGGCTCCAGGTAGATGTGTCCATCCTAGCCAGGGTTCGCATCTCTCAGTGGTTTATTTTCCTTGGGAAATAAAGTCAATGAATGCCAAAGGATTTCTACAAGTAGCTGTGATGTCTATTAACACAAGACTAGCTTTCCTAGACAGACAATTTGGCCTGCAAAGGAACCCATACTAAAAGGTCCAATCCCCCAGAATATAAAGTTGCCCTTCTGCTTTACAGAGGAGATCTGGTCACAGAGGAGATGCTCACAGAGGAGATCTGGTCACTCCTAGTTCCTACTGTCAAACGGCTCAACTCAGCAACAAAGTAGCCCTCTGAAATTCAGAGAGTGCCATCCAGTCATACTCTACCAGGAGGGTACTTGGTTCATGATTTATTACTCTAACCCCCACTCCTGTCTTGTCTCAACTGAAAGGAGAAGGAGGAAAAAAGAAAAATATAATATGCTATTCCTTCCCAAAAGAATATGTCCTTCCACACAATTCTAGACATGAAATATCAAGGCCAGGGGTCAGGGTATTAGTGAGCTCTCCCTTCCCAGCTCTCATGCCACCATAGAACAGGAAACCCAGAGTCGACTCACCTGCCGACATGGCCATAGTGGTCCCAGCCACCATACCCATGGTGACCCCGTTGCCTCTTGGAGGAGGGATGGGAGCAGGGTACATTGTCGCCGGCATGCCGTTGGGCTGCACCACTGTGGTGTGGTGGATGACGTGAGGGGGTGCTGCATACAGGTGCTGTGTGTAGAATGTGCCTTGCTGTGGGGAGGAAGAGCGACAACTGTAACAGAACTCTACACCCAGTGGGTAAGACCCCAGATGGGATCTACATATACAGTGCCCAAGAACAGTATCAAGAGCCTCACAGTGCACCCAAGGCCTACCTGTGCATATGGGCTTTGCTGGGGGTAGGCACTTCGCACAGGGTATACAGCAGTCTGGTATGGGTTGGGGGAGGAGGAATATGGTGGCACCGCCCCGCTGGTGGGGGAACAGGACACTTTATAAGGTGTGCCAGGAGTGTAACCTAAAACAAAGAAGCCCAATGAACTTTTCACAAATCCACATTTGCCAGACAAAAGGAAGGAACTCAGTTTTCCAGCCCTGACCATGACACCATTGTGGCCCCATATGAGCTCCACTAAGATCTGACTTCGTTACTTAATGTATAAGAATGTGTGTGTAGGGTGGGAGTCACTTTGGAAGAAAGAATAAAAACAGAAGGAAAAAGTAATTCTGAAAGTACATTCATCCTGGCTGGCATGGCTCAGTGGTTGAGCATCTACCTATGAACCAGGAGGTCACGGTTTGATTCCTGGTCAGGGCATATGCCCGGGTTGTGGGCTCAATCCCTGGAGTGGGGTGTGCAGGAGGCGACCGATCAATGATTCTCTATCATCATTGATGTTTCTATCTCTCTCTCCCTGTCCCTTCCTCTGAAATAAAATAATAAATTTTTTTAAGTACACTCATAGAAAAAGGGAAAAAACACCTATCCTGATGGAATATAAATTGGTACAGCCTTCTTGGGGCATACTATGGCATTAGTTCTATAATTTCACTTATAAAAATTTGTTTTAAAGAAATAAGCATGGGCTGCCAGTCGAGGTGGCAATGTAGGTAAACTCAATACTTAAACCTCCCACAATAACAAGAATTACAACTAAACTACAGAACTATCACTCAGAACACCTGATATCTAGCTGAACAGACAGGTGTCCTATAACTAAGGACATAAAGAAGAAGCTACATTAGACTGATATGAGGGATGAAGATGCTGAACAGGCTGCTCCCACACCCACATGCAGCAGTTACTAGGTGTACCGGTTAATAATGGTGGATTTTGTAATCAAAGAAAACACGATAATTTCAAGAGAAACATCAAAAGTGCTTTATTCAAAGTAATGTCCATTCACTAGCTACACATTTCCCCCATCTTTCAGGTAATTTGTGGATACCGTCCCAATAGAACTTTTCTTGTTTTGAAGCAAACCATTCAGAGACCCAATTTTCCACTTCTTTGTACGTTTTGAAGTGCTGCTCAGAAAGTGTGTGTGCCATCGATCAGAACAAATGGTAATCTGAAGGAGCAAGGTCTGGTGAATAGGGCGGGTGGGTTAATACTTCCCAGGCAAGATCTTTTAATGTGTCTTTAACTGGTTTTGAAGTGTGTGATGGTGCGTTACCAGGAAGCAAAATTACTTTGCCCTGTCTTCTGGCCCATTCTGATCGTTTCACGATCAAAGAAAGCATGGTTCAAATTGATTATCTGTTGTCAGTAGCAATCAGTATTAACGGTTTCACCTGGTTTTACAAGCCCATAACACACCACACCTTCCTGATCCCACCAAACGCAGAACATTGTCTTCTTTCTGAAGCGATTTGGCCTTGCAGTCGATGTTGATGGTTGACCTGGATCAACCCGTAATTTTGTGCATTTGGGATTCTCAAAATAAATCCACTTTTCATCACCAGTCACAGTTCGATGCAAAAAAGACTTTCTTTCATGCCGTTGAAGCAACATTTTACTGATGACTTTTTGGTTTCCCATTTGTCTTTCGTGCAGTTGATGTGACACGCATTTTCCTTCCTTTAAAATCTTTCCCACTGCTTGTAAATGATCGGAATTTGTTTGCTGAGCAACGTTTAATCTTTCTGCAAGTTGTTTTTGAGTTTGCCATGCATCTTCATCCAATAATGTTTGTAATTGTTGGTCTCCAAACTTTTTCGGTTGACCTGGACGTTCTTTGTCTTTCACATAGAAATCATCACTTTTAAGGCATTTAAACCAGCGTTCTCAAGTAGTATCTTGAGATGGAGCATGTTCACCATAAGCTTCCTGAAGTATACAATAACTTTTTCTTCAAAGTAAAGAATTAAAACTTCCCACAAATGTTCTTTTTTTGGCACGAAATTCAACATTTTTAAGCATAAAAATATCTATGATGCTAACACCTTCAGCAAATTTGACATGAAGTTTTGAAGCTTGCTGTCAATACAACAAAATAGCATACATATCAAATCCCATATATATCACCATATGTGTAACTCCATCTATTGAAAAAAATCCGCATTATTAACTGGTACACCTAGTAAAAATCAGGAAGAATATCTCAACTGTGGAGCAAGGAGTCCTAGTAGTGGGAGAAATCCCCATAATTTTTGACTGTGAAAACCTGCAAGGGTTGTAGCTGAGTGAGACAAAGGGCTCCTGAAGTCCCAGATGTTCCTCTTAAAGAGCCTGTGCAGGGACTTACTTGAACTCATGCACTGTGAGCTCCAGCGCTGGGGCAGAAGCTCAAAAAGTGCCAGGGACAAACAGGGAGGAACTCAATTGTCTGGCATTAAGGCAAGGGTTGGAGAGGCAGCTTTCCCCACAGACAGAAGTGCTGGCAGAAGCCATTGTTTCTTTGCTGAGCCCTCCCACACAGCCCGCAGGAGGCCGTGATATCTGAATCTCCAACAACCTGGTGATTCCCTGCAACCCTGCCCCACCCAACTTGCTGGCCCACCCAAACCCTTCCCAGTGGCTTTTCCTTACAACTGCCTGTCTTAGCTCATGCAGCAGATTTTCCTAAAATCTATCAAACAAGCACCATCTGGCCTCCGTGTACCCCATACCTCTTCTAAGTGGCCCCAGACCTGACACAAGTAGCAGCCTAACTTGGTTTGCAGCTTGGCCTATCTTGGGCAACTCCAAGGCCAGCACAAATAGCAACCATCTAAAGATTGCTTTGTAGCTCATGCCAGGTGGCCCTGGGGAGAGCACAAGCAGCAGTTGACCTTAGACTGCAACTATTAGGAGGCCCAAGAGCCAGCACACCAGGTGGACAGCTTCAGACCACATCAAAGCACCACCAAACCACTTCCATGAGAGACACACTCAAGGGGTGGACTCAGAAGGTACCTAAGCCCCACTGAAGTGAGTTCTGCTCCATGGGGTCGGCCCTTGCACAGCAGATCCTCTAGTGGTCTCAGCCAGTCCTCACAGCTGATCAAGAGGGTGCACACAACCCACATAAGGAGCACAGTCTGGAGTGCCCAGCTCAGATTACTGTGGAGACTGAGCCACTGGGCCCTAAAGACACCATCTACATAAAACCACTCTACCAAGACTAGAAGACATACAGCGGCGGTTCTCAACCTGTGGGTCGCGACCCCTTTGGTGGTCGAACAACCCTTTCACAGGGGTCGCCTAAGACCATCCTGCATATCAGATATTTACATTATGATTCATAACAGTAGCAACATTACAGTTATGAAGTAGCAACGAAAATAATTTTATGGTTGGGTCACAACATGAGGAACTGTATTTAAAGGGTCAGAAGGTTGAGAACCACTGACATTCAGGCTCTACCTAATACACAGAAACAAACACAGGGAAGCAGCCAAAATAACAACACAAATGAAACATGTCCCAAATGAAAGAACAGAACAAAACTTCAGAAAAAGAGCTAAACAAAATTAAACCGAGCAATCTACCAAAAGCAAAGCTCAAAACACTGGTTATAAGGATACTCACTGAACATAAGGAAAATGTAGAAAAACTCAGTGAGAACTTCAATAAAGAGATAGGAAACATAAAAATGGAGATAGAAAACATAAAAAAGATCCAGTTAGAAATGAAGAATACACTAACTTAAATGAAGAATACATTACAGGGAATCACAGTAGAGAATCAAATCAAGGACTTGAAAGGTAAGAAAGAAGAAAACACCCCTCAGGACATCAAAACGAAAAAAATGAAGATAGTGTAAGGAGCTTCTGGAACAATTTCAAGCTTACCAACATTCATATCATGAGGGCACCAGAAGAAGAAGAAAGAGAGCAAGAAATTGAAAACCTGTTTGAAAAAAAATAATGACATGCCCTAACTGGTTGCTCAGTGGTTAGAGCATCAGCCCATGGACTGAAGGGTCCCAGGTTCAATTCTGGTCAAGGACACGTACCTCGGTTTGCAGGCTCGATCCCTGGCCCCAGTTGGGGCATGTGTGGGAAGCAAGCAATCAATGTGTCTCTCTTACAGTGATGTTTCTCTCTGAGTGAAATAAGTCAGACAGAGAAAGACAAATACCAGGTGATTTTTGCCTCTCCCCCTCCCTTCCACTCTCTCTAAAAATAAATGGGAAAAAATATCCTTGGGTGAGGATTAACAAAAAAACAAACAAACAAAAAATAATGACACAAAACTTCTCTAACCTGGTAAAGGAAATAGACATAAAAGTCCAGGAAGCACAGAGTACCAAACAAGATGAACCCAAAGAGGCAAACACCAAGACACATCATAATTAAAATGCCAAAGGTTAAAGACAAAGAGAGAATATTAAAAGTAGCAAGAGAAAAGCAGTTAGTTATCTACAAGGGAGCTTCTATAAGACTGTCAGCTGATTTCTCAATAGAAACTTTGCAGGCCAGAAAGGCTTGGCACAAAATATTCAAAGTGATGAAAAGCAAGGACCCACAAACAAAATTACTCTACCCAGCAAAGCTCCATTTAGAATCAAAGGGTAGATAAAGAGCTTCCCAGAAAAGAAAAAGCTAAAGAATGCATCACCACTTAATCAGCATTACAAAAAATGTTAAAAGTCTTCTTTAAGAAAATAAAATTTTTGCCGAAACCCTAGAAATATGAATAAATGCCATAAATACATATCTATCACATTATTTTAAATGCAAATGGATTAAAGTCTCCAATCAAAAGACATATGGCAACTGAATGAATAACAAAATAAGACCCTTAACATATGCTATCTACAAGAGACTTGTTTCAGATGGAAAGACACAGGCTAAAAGTAAAGGTATGCAAAAGATATTCATGAAAATAGAAACAAACAAACAAAAAAGCTGGGGTAGCAATACTTATACGAGACAAAACAGACAAAGGCTATACCAAGAGACAAAGAACGACCCAGCAATTCTACTTCTGGATATTTATCCGAAGAAACCCAAAACATTAATTCAAAAAGGCATATATATCCGTATGTTCACTGCATCATTTACAATGGCCAAGCTATGGAAGCAACCTAAGTGTCCATCAATATTATTTTTAAAAAAAAATTATGCATGGTAGTGACATTAGCATCATGGTGGCATGAGATGCTCCCTTATCTCTCCCCTTCTATCAGTAACAAGTAAAGCATCCATGACTCAACAAAGTCTCCTCACCCAACACACCAGGACATTGGAAAGATCCACGCATCTGTACAGCTGAAAATGGTGGACTGAAACACATAAAGGGGTAGGAACTGGGGGAACAGCAGAGGTGCCACCTCCAACCCTGTTCCCACCACGGCGACTCTGGCTACCCCAGAGTCAACATACATGACTTCAGCCTCCCGGCCACAGTGCCACAGGCAACCCCAGCTCTGTGGGAAACCGCCTATTGTCTTCACTGGCAGAGAAGTGTAGACAAGGAACCTGGAAGGCTGGTGATCCTTGAAGCCCTTGCAAAGGTCAGGGCTGTGCACCCATTGTTAGTCCAGACAATGGTAGCTGAAGCAACTTCCCCATTTATTATTATGTAAATCCTTGCTGATGGGCTAGTCTGCCTGTTACTGGAAATTGCCTGCCTAAGGGCTATGGGTGTATCCCAAACCAATAAAAGGTTGGCTCGGCCTGAGCACCAGGGGAAGTCCTTCTCCTTGAGTTGGACTTGCTGCCTGGTCCCCCAATATTCCCAAATTATCTCTTGTCTCTTCTTTTTCATTTGTGTGCGGCTCCTCTTCCAGATCCTGAACCCTGAACCACACGGGACGTGGAGGGAAACATTTACCACACAGCTCTCTCCATCCTCCAACCCTCATCGCACTGCCACAGCAGTACCCACAACCAGATGACATCAGATGTGGTGGAGGCAACTGCTATCCTGGTGACTCTGATATGTGACCCCAGTGACACTAGCAGCAGCAAGACACTAGTTATCCCAGAGTAACAAACAGCAATGACAAGGCACCAACGACACCTTTGGTGGAGAGAGTAAAGCACTAGTGCTCAAATATAGCCAGAGGCATGTCAGGTAGGAGAAACCAAAAATATGTGCTATGGCACCATGTACTGGAAAACTAAAAAGGCCTCTAATTACCAACCTGTTGGACTCTTAGGATCAAAGTAAACAACAAAGCTGTACCAAAATAAGAAAGGTATTGGCTACTTCAAATGCACCCAGAGGAATAACTCATCAAACACCATAAAAAAAAAATCATGGTTACACGGTAGCAGATAAAGAAAATAATAATTCTCCCAAAACCACACTTAAAGTCATAGAAGATTGTGATCTAACTGAGAGAGAATTCAAAATAGGCAACGTGAAGAAACTACAAGAAAACTCAGAAATTCAGATCAATGGGTTCAATAATAAAATTAATAAGCAGAATAAGTAAATTAACAAAGACCTAAACAGAAATTCTGCAGCTGAAGAACTCAATAAATGACATGATGAATGCTTTGGAAATATAGCAGATCATATGGAATAGAGAATTGTGGGAGCTCCAGAGTAGATCATATAGAAGAGAGAATTGTGAGCTGGCAGATAGAAATCTATAAATAATTCAGGCAGATGAGTAGAGAGAACTATGATTTTTTTCAAAAATGAAGAACTCTATGAGAACTATCCAACTCCATTAGAAAGGGCAACAAAATGAAAATGGGTATTCCAGAAGGGTAAGAGAGGGAGAAAGAAGCAGAGAGCTTATTTAGAGAAATAATAGATGAGAACTTTCCACAACTGAGGTAGGAATTCAATATACAAAGTCCATGAAACTAAGAGAACGCCTAAATATCTCAATGCAAACAAAACAAAACAAAACCTTCTCCAAGACACATCAAAACTGTCAAAAGTCAATGATAAAGAATTTTAAAGGCAGCCAGAGAATAAAAGATGATAACCTACAAATGTACCACCATTAGGCTATCAGCTGATGAAACCCTATGGGCCAGGAGAGTGAATGACATTTAAAATACTAAAAGATACAAAATGTTAGTCAAGAATATTCTATCAAGCAAAGTTATCCTTTAGATATGAAAAAGAAGTGAAGTCTTTCCCAGATAAACGAAAGCTGAGGGAGTTCATAACCACTAGATTTGCCTTGCAAGAAATGCTTAAAGGAAGGAGCTCTTCTACCTGAAACAAAAAGCACAAGTACCCAAAACTCTGAGTAAGGTGATAAGAAAACAGAATCAGAAGTTTGTGATTCAATATCAGAAAAGGCTGTTAGACAATTACAGTATAAAGGTTAAGGGAAAACAAAAAGCATTCTAAATAACTACAGCTACTTCAACCTGGTAACAAACTCAATATCAAAAAGCAACAATTTGTGCCAGCTCAGTGGTTGAGTGTCAAACCATGAACTAAGAGGCCACTGGTTTGATTCCTAGTCAGGGCACATGCGCAGGTTGTGGGCTCATTCTCTAGCAGGGGCCGTGTAGGAGGCAGCCGATTGATGATGTATCTCTCTCAGCTATGTTTCTATTTATCTATCCCTTTCTCTTCCTCTCTCTCTAAAAAAATCAATAAAAGCATATTTTAAAATTAAATAAATGAACAGCTATATGACAACAAATTGGATAATCTAGAAAAAAATGAATAAATTCTTAGAATCACACAATCTTCCAAAATTGAATCATGAAGAAATAGAGAATCTAAATAAACCAATCAACAGTATGGTGATTGAAACAGTAATCAAAAACCAAGAGTCCAGGACCAGATATGGGCTCACTGGTGAATTCTACCAAACATTCAAAAAACATTAAATACCCATCCTCCTCAAACACTTCCAAAAAATGAAAGAGGAGGGAATGCTTCCAAACTCATGTTACAAGGCCAATATTATCTTGATATCAAAAACAGATAAGAACACTAACAAATAGCCGAAACCGGTTTGGCTCAGTGGATAGAGCATCGGCCTGTAGACTGAAAGGTCCCAGGTTCGATTCCGGTCAAGGGCATGTACCTGGGTTGCGGGCACATCCCCAGTGGGAGGTGTGCAGGAGGCAGCTGATCGATGTTTCTCTCTCATCGATGTTTCTAACTCTCTGTCTCTCTCCCTTCCTCTCTGTGAAAAATCAATAAAATATATTTTAAAAAAAAAAGAACACTAACAAATAATATTATTCAGATAAAAAATAGATACAAAAATCCACAACAAAATATTAGCAAACTGAATAAAACAATACATTAAAAGGATCATATGCATGGTCATGTGAGATTTATTCCAGGGATGCAAAAATGGTTCAATTTCTGAAAATCATTGTGATACACATTAACAGAATAAAGGATAAAAATCATTACCTTCTCACACTGGCCTGATGGCTTAATGAGTTGGAGAGTCATCCTGTATACTAAAAGGTTGAGAGTTCAGTTCCTGGTCAGTACCATTACCTAGGTTGCAGATTTGATCCCCGGTCCAGGAATGTAAAGGAGGCAACCAATTGATGTTTCTCTCTCACACACTGATGTTCTCTCTCTCTCTCTCTCTGTCTCTCTCTCTCCCCTCCTTCCTCTCTTCCCAAAATCAATAAAAACATATCCCTGGGTGAGAATTTGAAAAAAAATAATAACCATCTTTAAAAACAACAATGAAAAGTCCTAGCTGGTTGCTCAGAGTGTTGACCCATGAACTAAAGTCCACCACTTTTAATGGAAGTCCTAGAAAGAGCAATTAGGAAAAAAAAATAATGATTAATATAAATGAATAAATGGCATCCAAATAGGAAAGGAAGAAGTAAAACTGATGACATGATTTTATATAAAGAAAACCCTAAAGATTACCAAAAAAACTATTAGAAATTATTAATAGATACAGTAAAGTACAGAGTACAAAATCAATTTACAAAAATTGTGGTGGTTCTATATACTACTTACAAACTATAAGAAAGAAAAATTAAGAAACAATCCTATTTAAAAATCACAACAAGAAGAGTAAAATATTTAGGAATAAATTTCACCTAAGAGTTGTGAAATGCCTGTACAATGAAAGCTATAAGACATTTTAAAAAATAAAGATGACACAAAGAAATGGAAAGATATTCCATGTTCATGTACTGGAAGAATTAACATTACAAAATTGTCCATACTACCTAAAGCAATCTACAGATTTAATGCAATCACTATAAAATTCCAATGGCATTTTTCACAGAAATAGAACAACAACAAAAACAAAAAACCCTCAAATTTGTACAGAACCACAAAAGATCCCAAGCAGCCAAAGCAATCCTGAGAAAGAAACAAAGAGAGAGAGAGAGAGAGAGAGAGAGAGAGAGAGAGAGAAAGGAAGGAAGGAAGGAAGGAAGGAAGGAAGGAAGGAAGGGAGGGAGGAAGGAAGGAAGGAAAGAAGGGAGGGAGGGAGGAAAGAAAGAGGCTTGAGAGGAGGAAGGAAGATGGCTGCCGATGGGAAGGCAGACTGCAAGATAGTGTGAGAGAGAGAACTATATAACCGGACACCTGGAGGAGAACATGGGGAGACAAAGAAACAGCCCGCATATGAAAGAAAAGCAGGCATCACCAGAAAAGGAAGTAAACGAAATGGAGGCAAGCAAGCTGTCAGAGAAAGAATTCAGAGAGATGGTCATAAGGTGGATGAAAAGAATGGAAGACAAATTCAACCATATGTGTAAGAACCAAGAGGAAATGAAGAAGAACCAGGAAGAAGTGAAAAATGACATCACTGCTATAAAGAATTCAATAGAAAGCATCAACAGTAGACTAGAAGAAGCAGAGGACCGCATCAGTGAGCTAGAAGACAAAGTAGAAAAAAATATCCAAGCAGAGCAGCTTCTAGAAAAAAAAAAAAAAGCAGGAGGAGAGCCTAAGAGAACTTTGGGACAACACAAAATGAAACAACATCCACATAATTGGGATGCCAGAAGGAGAGGAAACTGAGCAAGGAATAGAAAACCTGTTTGAAGAAATAATGACAGAAAACTTCCCCGATATAGGGAAGAAAAAACTCACACAAATCCAAGAGGCTCACTGAGTCCCAAACAAAATGAACCCATAAAGAGATACGCCAAAGCACAATATAATTAAATTGGCAAAAACCAACGACAAAGAATACTAAAAGCAGCCAGAGAGAGAGACAGAAAATTACCTACAAAGGATCCCCCATCAGACTGGCGAATGATTTCTAAACAGAAAACATCAGGCAAGAAGGGAATGGAATGAAATATACAAAGTCATGAAAAGGAAGGGTCTGAATCCAAGAATACTACACCCAGAAAGGCTATCACTCAAAATTGAGGGTGAAATCAGGAGCTTCACAGACAAAAAAGGACTGAGGGAGCTTATTACCACGAAACCAGCAATGCAAGAAATGCTAAAGGGTCTACTGTAAAAAGAACAAATAGGAAACGAAGAAGGAACACAGGTGTAAAGAATAAAAATGGCGACAAGTACCTATCAATAATAACTTTAAATGTAAATGTATGAAATGCCCCAATCAAAAGACATAGGGTAACTGGGTGGATAAGAAAACATGACCCATATATCTGCTGTCTACAGGAACCCCACCTCAGAAAAAAAGACACACACAGACTGATGGTGAAGGGATGGAAAAAGGTTTTTTAGACGAATGGAAATGAAAAAAAAAAAGCTGGGGTACCAATACTTATATTTGACAAGTAAGATCTCAAAGTGAAGGACATAAAAAGAGATAAGTAAGGCCACTTCATAATACTAAGTGGAGCAATCCAACAAGAAGAAATAACTCTGGTAAACATATACGCACCCAATACAGGAGCACACAAATACATAAAAAAAACTTCTTGAGGATATCAGGGGGGAGATTTACAGTAATACAATCATAGTAGGGGATTTAATACCCTACTATCACCATTGGACAAATCCTCTAAAAAAAAAAATCAGCAAAGAAACATCAATCCTAAATGACTCATAGATCAGATGGAATTAATTGACATCTTCAGAACATTTCACCCCGAAGTTACAGAATATACATTCTTCTCAAGTGAACATCAGTCATTTTCAAAGATAGACCATGTATTGGGTCACAAGCAAAGTCTATTCAAATTCAAGAAGATTGAAATCATATCAAGCATCTTCTCAGATCACAATGGCATAAAACTGAAAATCAACTACAATGAAAACAATCCAAAAAAATCAAACACATGGAGACTAATTAGCATGCTATTAAACAATGACTGGGTTACCAGAGAGAACAAAGAAGAAATAAAAAAACAACATGGCAACAAACAACAATGAGAACACAACAATCCAAAACCTATGGGACACAGCAAAAGCAGTCTTGAGAGGGAAGTTCATAGCTCTACAAGCCTACTGCAAAAAACAAGAAACAATGGTAATAAATTACCTAACCCGACAACTCAAAGAGTTAGAGAGCAACAAGAAAAGCCCATTGTAAGCAGAAGGAAGGAAATAATAAAGATCAGAGCGGAGATAAACGACATAGAGACCAAAAAAACAATACAAAAGATCAACAAAACCAAGAGCTGGTTCATTGAAAGGATAAACAAGATTGATGAACCTCTAGCCAGGCTCACCAAGAAACAAAGAGAGAGGACCCAAATAAACAAAATCAGAAATGAAAGAGAAGAAATAACAACAGACCCCACAGAAATACAAAGGATTGTAAAAAAATACTATGAACAACTCTATTACAACAAACTAGACAACCTGGAGGAAATGGACATATTCCTAGAAAAATACAACTTTACAAAAGTCAATCAGGAAGAATCTAAAAATCTCAATAAGCCAATAACTATGGAAGAAATTGAAGCAGTAATCAAAAAGTTTCCAGCAAATAAAAGCCCGGGGAGTTTTACCAAACATTCAAGGAAGAACTAAAACCTATCCTCCTCAGACTATTCCAAAAAATTCAAGAGGAAGGAACACTTTCAAGCTCATTCTATGAAGCCAGCATCACCCTAATAGCAAAACCAGATAAAGACAACACAATGAAAGAGAATTACAGGCCAATATACCTCATGAACATAGATGCCAAAATCCTCAACAAAATCCGAGCAAATCGGATCCAGCAGTACATCAGAAAGATCACACACAATGACCAAGCAGGATTTATCCCAGGGATGCAAGGATGGTACAATATCCGCAAATCAATAAACATGATACATCACATAAACAAATTGGGAGTTAAAAATCACAGTCTTATCAATTGATGCAGAAAACACATTTGACAAAATCCAACACCCATTTTTGATAAAAGCTCTCAGCAAGGTGGGAATAGAAGGATCATACCTCAACATAATAAAAGCCATATATGACAAACCCATATATGACAAACCCAACATAATAAAAGCCATATATGACAAACCCACAGCCAACAGCATACACAATGGGCAAAAACTAAAACCATTTCACCAAAACCGGTTTGGCTCAGTGGATAGAGCATCGGCCTGCGGACTGAAGGGTCCCGGGTTCGATTCCGGTCAAGGGCATGTACCTGGGTTGCGGGCACATCCCCAGTGGGAGATGTGTAGGAGGCAGCTGATCGATGTTTCTCTCTCATCGATGTTTCTAACTCTCTGTCTCTCTCCCTTCCTCTCTGTAAAAAATCAATAAAATATATTAAAAAAAAAAAAAAACTAAAACCATTTCACCTAAGAACAGGAACAAGACAGTGATGCCCACTCTCACCACTCCTGTTCAACATAGTAATGGAAGTATTAGCCATTGTCATTAGACAAGAGGAAAAAATAAAAGGCATCCAAAATGGAAAAGAAGAAGTAAAACTGTCTTTATTCGCAGATGACATGATATTGTACTTAAAAAATCCTAAAGACACCATCAAAAAACTATTACACTTAATAAATGAATTTGGTAATGTAGCAGGATACAAAATTAACGCCAATAAATCTATGACATTTCTATACACCAATAGTGAACTTACAGAAAGAGAGACTTAAAAAGCAATCCCATTTACCATCACACCAAAAAAATTAAGATACCTAGGAATAAACTTAACTAAGGAGATAAAAGACCTCTACTCAGAAAACTACAGGACGTTGAAAAAAGAGATAAAGGAAGACATAAACAGATGGAAGAACATACCATGTTCATGGATTGGTAGAATCAACATCATTAAAATGTCCATACTACCCAAAGCAATCTATAAATTCAACGCACTCCCATTAAAATACAATCGGCATATTTCACAGGTCTAGAACGAACTCTCCAAAAATTCATCTGGAATAAAAAAAGACCCTGGAGGAGAAACCAAGATGGCGGCATAGGTTAACGCTGGAGTTTGCTGCCTCTAACAACCACTTCAAAAATACAACTAAAAGACGGAACGGACATCATCCAGAACCACAGGAAGGCTGGCTGAATGGAAGTTCTACAACTAGGAGGAACCGAGAATCAGAGGAGGTGCAGTGCTGAAGTAAAATACTAAGGTGCAGAGTGCGCGCGGCGCGGGCTGGTGGCTGAGGGCGCGGTTGTCTGTTTCAATCCGGAGGGAGCCTCAGACTCAGAGCTCCAGATCTGGGCGAGTCTTTAGGGACCCATACTCAAACGGGAGAAGCAGGACTGTCTGGCTACGGTCCCTCCGAGGTTTGCAGCTGTTGCTGGGGCAGAGAGGCAGAGCCCCTGGGGACGGACTGAGAGCAGCCATAACTGCTCCCTCCTCCACCCTGTTGATCCCGTGGGACCCGCCC